TCCCTTTGTATCAGTATCTACAGTATGTACATGACACTGTGAACACAACCATTACAACTGTTTATATAGTTTTACTATTTATATTAAATTATATTAAAACACTAAAATATTGAAGACTCCGACTCTGAGAAATAAAGAAGATGTTTGAATAGTTCACCAATTCTCATCCTTCAGATTCTTGTTTGGGCTCTCTCAATACAATGTGAACGAAGTACATCTACTGATGATGAGAGGAAAGATTTTGGCCAAGTAAAACGAATATACCCAGTCCAAAGCATTGTAACAGATGGGTGGTGACAATTGGAAAGGTCATTTGAATCTAAAGTTCAAACAAACATTTTATAAATAACAGGCTGAAGAGTGACATTGTAAATATTTATTTGATAAATTGATGGCAATGCTGTATGTATATAATGAATGGTCCATGAATGATATCTACAAAACCTCACGAAATATCATCTATAACAAAGACCTTCTCTCTGATAACAATAGATAATTCAGTGTCACTCTTAGTTCTGTTGTTACATTTTGTACAGTTCTAACTGTTCTTGTTTAAACCATATCATAGATAGTTACAATATTGTTTATGATTGTTAATATGACAAGCATAAAAGCTGACACTAAAATATGGTTGGTGACCCAGTATTGGATACCTTGTACTACAAATTTGTTTGAAAAGATAAATAAAATAAAATCTCTTAAGATAACTTACACCAGTCAAACACTTTCACACGACAGTAACTTTCAACGACACAGTCACTCAATAGCCATAGAGAATTATATATAAAAATCTTACAACTGCTCATCACCAACATTCCATATAATATTATCAGCTAAATTTCCAAACCCGATTTTGAGATTCCAGAAAAGTTATTTTTCATTTATTTTTTGAGTTCATATTCCTTAGACTCAGCAATACTCAAGCTTTTTAGAAACCAAACACCAGATAAACATATTGCTTGCTATAATCCTGTACTTTAAGCTGGCTTAACAACCTGAATTTGTCGAAAAGGAAATTTTCCTGCAGTGGAAATTATCACTTGTGTGATTAATGAATCAGTATGAAAACATACACTCACATACTGACACATTTCTGTGTGTATATTGCAGCAGTACTGCGGAGGTAAACATTTTCACACAGCAACTGTACATGTGTGAAAAATTGGTTTCCAAACTATTTACACAGAATATATCCACTTTTACAGAATTGTATATTTACAGTTACATTGTATTCAGCCCCAAAGAGAAATATTTACTTATGCACACCAGTGTGCATACATGTGTGTTACTGTATGTGTTCTAATGACTGAAATTAATATCATCCAAGATATTTCACACTCACTCTGTAAAACAATACACAGTTGCTGATGTTCATCCCCAGAAGACTATCATGCCACAAAATTTCTACTTTGTAAAAGGTGTGATGAAAATGATCTGTGTTCACGTTTATTTTGACTGTACAACGTTATCAAACAGAACACTAACAATGGTTCTGAATGCAATGAACACATTAAACTAATTTATAAATATAATTATCTGACTGTCAAAATTCAAAACTTTCAAAAAATAGTTCAATCAATAGCTGGCACTATGATGTTGTGGTATCTATGACGTCGTACTATACATGACGTGATCAAACACTGTGTATAAAGACATTTAAAATAAACATGACATGGAATCTACACAATTTTTCTTCAATGCCACTGATAAAGAGCAGGAGCCAGAAAATGTTCTACAAGTAGCATTCTATATTTCCCTTTGGAGTCTTTTCAAAGCAAAAGTTTAAAGTTCCATTCAATTTGTTAAATTTCAAAACAAATTTGTTGAAAAATTCTGTAAGGATATTTTTTTCAAAAAACCCCTATAATACATGTACTGAGTTTTATACATCTTCAAATTTAAAAAAAAATAAAAAAAATCCTTCAAATGTTAAGAATTAATTTTGTGGTCATCTGATATGCAGCCTTGTGATATTGTAATCATACATGTGTTGACTTTTAACTGAAGTTGGACATTGGGTCATCTATGCGGCGCTGTTTGAGTCGCCAAGCTTCCATCTCCTCCTCTGTGGGGGCTGCCTCGGCATACATGCTGTTGTAGGGACGCTTCCTCTCATCCATCCTCATAAACTCCTTCATTTTCTTCTGGTGATCCTCTTCTTTCTTTAACGCCTGATGACAAATATAAACACATACAGTAACTGCACATCTCACAAAATACTGATATCAATCAGGTAAAATTTAACAATTAATATCTACATTGTGTAATGTAAAATTTGCGAATTGTTATCTCCCTTTACACATTATATGTATGATGTACACATATTAGTTTTACAATTTTATTTAATATTTGATGATGTTGCTGGCAGAATAATTGTATTTTACTCGTGTAAAGTTCAGGGGGTCTGTGCATGAAAACATATCAGAAGTATGGGGTGGGCTTATCACCAGATATGAGTCTGTGTTTTACCGGCCCAGACTGGTAAAATTCTATTCATTTACAATTAAAGGAAAGATTTTACCATGATCTTGTTTTCTCCCACATTTTACAGGTACATTCCTATTTCAGCTAAGGAAAATACTTATTTAGGGTAAAACAGCTAACATGCTATTATCCTGAAAATGTCACTAGTACGTCATCACTTTATGCAGTGTTACCAGGGAGTATGGGTTCACCATTGCAACGTATTCCTATTGGCAGGGTTGTAGGAGATGTTTAATTATCACTCCTGTGTGATGTTGACACGGATCTAAACCCTATGGATAAGCTTTTTGACATGTAGCACTTTGCAAAAAAGACTTGTTCTGATATTCAAACAATTTTTTTCCCTGGGGGGGGAGGGGTTGAGATAGCTCTGTCTCTATAACACAGGGGTGATAGATTCTATCATTGCTAACAGTACAGTTCCCAGGTAGATGTATAAAACATTCAAATTAACTTTTAACTTTAAACATATGCTTCTTACCTCCTTCAATTTCTTTTCCTTTATTTTTTCTTCGTCCTCCTCTTCTTCACTGCTGCTACTTGATGACTTCTTATGTTTCTTCCTTTTCTTTTTCTTCTTTTTCTTTTTATCTTTTAATTTCAATTTTTCTTGGTGTTGCTACACAGGGAAATGCATATTTGAGAAAACCTTTTAGTATTTTCCATCAAATAATATAGAAATTGAAAGTAATTTTGTCAATGTTTAGGCTGTATGAATACAAGGGAATCAGTTAAGTCCATTTTCCATGAAGCCCATATGCATGTAACCAATTTAACCAGCATGAGCATTGAAAAGTTGCTATTCAATATGCATGTTTCCATTAGAAATTCATAGTTATTAACTTATTAGTAATCAAAATATATAAGTATTTCCTAATATCTGTGGTTAGAAATGTCTGTATCTTTATTATGATTTTTTTTTCTGGATTAGCCCAACATCACCTAAACCTTTACCTCTTCAATGGTCTGAAAAGGATGAATTTGTACAAAATTATGAGCATTTTTTAATGTGTATTATTTGACTGTAATCAATAAATAAGACATGCATGTTTTATTTTTGGTTTTAATAGTTCCAAAAGCATCAGTACTTAATGTATCATCAGGCCAAGCTCAGACTACCTCAATGAAATGCATACAAATCCCCTGACATTGGTGAGTCTTGGTGTAAACCGTGACAACCTATATAAAGTGTATACACATCAAAGACATAAGATCTCTCTCCGCTCACCTCTTGTAATGACTTTGGGGCTTCCTCCTCCTCCTCCTCCTCAGAACCAGCATGGTCTTGGTTCTCGATCATCAACATGTTCTACAATAGCATACAATTCACAGATTACCTTAATGGGCAACACAAAATCATATTGACAAACTTCAAGTACTGGGTACTGTATAACATGAAATGTCCGTTGTGTATAAACATTCCTGGTTTTCGTGGTTGCTATGGAACCACGAACATAAATACAACAAATTTGAATGATATACATGTTTACTGCTTGTTGATAAAGGATATCCACAAAAGTTTGTACCACGAAACGATCTAAATGGCGTCAAACCAGGAAGGAAAGAATCCACAAACATTTTGTGTTTTAACTTAAACAGTATATTCTTCAAATTTTTAGGAAAGACATTTCACTATAGCAGTTTTGGTATATTATATAAAATCATGTAGCATTGAGTACTTCATTTTTTTCTTTATTTCTAATAAATGTAAATCAACCACAATAAAAACAGATATAGAAACATCTCATTTTAAGCCAGAATGGACAAATATGAGCAAGAAAAGGTACTGAACACATGTAGATGTTTGGATATTGGTCAGTCAGAAATGATGCTACAAATAAACAAATCTACATACCAACTGATATTGAACATGCTTTGTATATTCTTCAAGACAAATGAAAATTTAATTGTAAATGTTCTTGAGACAAAACTTTAAAATATTGGCTCTGTGATGTTAAAGAAATATACAGTAAGATTTAAAAAGCACAAATCTTCTCTCTAAACAGTTCAAACAAATTTCAAAACAATCTGTACACAAATCTTTCAACACTAAAAATATCTCTAAATGCAACTGTAGTACAATTTTCTTTCAACAGTACAAATATCTCTCAAATGTTTACAAACGCTAGAGTATAGAAATCTCTTCAAACACTTAATAAACCTCTCAGTAGTATAAAAAATATCTCTCAACATCATAACATTATAACAATATTAACTGTTTTCATTAATGTACAAGAAACAAAGTACATTGTATTTAGCCCACACATCGAAGGGAGATAACTGAGTATGATATAGCTTGTAAGAGTGGCATCCTCTGCTTACCTGTGCAGCTACTTTACCGGCCTCCCCTGTACAGTAGGCCTCCTTGACTATTGAGTGACAGCACTTGTAACCCCAGCGTCCCTCCTTCCAGTGCGAACCCCATACACTCTGAAATTTAAATTGACATTAACCATTATTTTGTAATACTTTCTGCAATTAATTTTGACTTTGTATCAGAAGACATAGTTCGGTGCTGTACATGTTTCCAACTCGCTTTTTATTTTGGTTTAAATGTAATTACTGTAAATTTGCAGGTAAAGTGCGCAATCGCGTATAGTGCGCAGGTACGTTTTTGGGGTCAGATTTGAAGAGAAAAAAATTGATTTGTATAATTATTTTTAAAAATTAATTTGTATAATTATTTTTCACTTCGTATTAATGACAGTGATAATTAACATCTGTTTCTAACTCATTGTATGGTTGTATATTAATTTTTACTTTATTTACATCTGGTTCTAAACTACTGTATATACATGTATGGTTGTATATTAATTTTTACTTTATTTACATCTGTTTCTAACTCACTGTATGGTTGTTGTTGTACACATCCTCTTCATACTTTGAACGAACAGCTCCCTTCTCCTGGCCCTTAATGACCGTCCCATGGCGTGAGTACTCAACATAGTTCTCCTGCAAATATCCAAACATTCATCTTTATCGACAAATTGCATAGAAAGAATAAGACAGGAACATATATTCCAGCCAATATTTTCTTGACCTGTATATGAATCTCATTAGGGCTTACCTCCCCCAAAACAGATTTACCAGTACATATATATGGGATTGGACAATTCTAACCACATAATGGAAAAGGGCCAGTTGACATACATTTCTGGAGTTTTGACAGCTAGCAAATGAGTGTGGGCTGTACATATGTAACATTAAAATGTCCATCTCTACTTTTCTTTTGTGCTTTACACTTGCAAATATTGATATATATATTGATATATCTGTACAAATTTTACACACAGTGAAAGTTTCAGGTTACCTGTGCAGTTTCTATCTATACATGTATGTGCATTTTCTTTTTAATTCTTACAAACTATTACAAAATATTTCACACCTGTTTAAAGGACACTTTCTGCACACATTTTAAATAATCTCACTTGACACATATTTGTAATTAAAACTGTTTTGCTCCTTGANTGCTTTACACTTGCAAATATTGATATATATATTGATATATCTGTACAAATTTTACACACAGTGAAAGTTTCAGGTTACCTGTGCAGTTTCTATCTATACATGTATGTGCATTTTCTTTTTAATTCTTACAAACTATTACAAAATATTTCACACCTGTTTAAAGGACACTTTCTGCACACATTTTAAATAATCTCACTTGACACATATTTGTAATTAAAACTGTTTTGCTCCTTGATAATATACTGAACAAAAAAAGAAACGCACAAAGTTCCCCCCCTGCAGTAAACCTTAGCTGTAAGGAAATAATGGAATATTTGGTCAGGTATTACATCAAGAACGATCTCCCTTCTCAACAATCTACCCTAAAATCAGCCAAGCGTGACGATGTCATTGTGTGACTTTGTGAGCTTCTTTAGTCCAAATCACGCGGCGTGATCAAGCAAGCCAAGCCTTAGTTTTTCAAACAAATAATCTCAACGGATACTCTAAGTTCAGCCACATTAATTTTCCACGTTGGCATTTTGATTTCGCCAATGACTGAGATGCCACACTTAACGCAAATTCAGAGGGGTAGAGCAATTGCGATGTTGATGGATGGTCATAGCCAAACTGCTGTCGCACGGCAGTTTGGTGTTGGCCCGTGTACAATTAACCGTCTCTGTACATGTTTCCGTGCTACTGGGTTAGTTTCCGATTGTCCCAGGAGCGGTCGTCTGCTTGTAACAACTGCACGACAAGACAGGGCGATTCGATTGTCGCACTTGCGCAACAGATTCAAGACTGCTGTAGAGACTTCGTAGCATACCTTAGGTACTCATGGCAGACCCATTAGTCCTCAAACTGCCAGGACCCGCTTGCGTGCCGAGAGAATCATTGCACGCCGACCTTATGTCGGGCCACCTCTGACACCACGGAGGCGGCAAGTGCGTCTTGACTGGATGCGCAGACATGGCCCGAATAGGTTTGGGATGTGTCGATGGAGGCGTGTGATGTTCACCGACGGGTCTAGATTCTGTCTGTAACGCTCAGACGGACGAAAAAGGGTATATCGCAGACGCGGTGAGCGTTTCGCCGACACACACGTGGTTGAACGCGATAGATTCGGTGGGGCTTCTGTAATGGTTTGGGGAGGCATCTCCCATGGAGAAAAATCCCCCTTAGTGGTCCTGGATCAAAACCTCAATGCCGTTCGATACAGAGACCAGATCCTCCAACCACATGTCCTTCCACTTCTCAGACGTCATAACCTAATTTTCCAGCAAGACAATACTCGACCGCATGTTGCCAGAGTCTGTCGTGATTTTCTCACGGCAAACAACGTTCAGCCTCTGGAATGGCCCCCATATAGCCCCGTTGTCTCCCATTGAGCATCTGTGGGATGAGCTGGACAGGCGTATTAGGAAACGTCAAAAAAAAAAAAACTAACCGCGCCCAGTTGATCGCAGCGCTAGCATTAACACAAGAATGGAACAACATTCCCTTAAGGCGAATAAATGTTCTCATGAATTCAATGCATAGGAGAATCCGTGCAGGGATTCGTGCAAAAGGTGCCCACACCTGGTACTGAAGTGTCATTTTGTTTTTCGCGGGTATCCCACTTTGAGTAATTACTGATGACATGAGTGACGTCACACAGGTTTTTCCTCAACAGTATTGTAAAGAGTAGACTTGTCCCTTCATATTGATATAAAATTTTGTACAAATTTCCTAAAATATCATAGGCTATTGATTGCATAATTTAATTGTGTGTTTCTTTTTTTGTTCAGTATATATAAGCAATAATAAGAAATACGATATTTATATACTGGGTGGGAATGTTATAGAATAATTGTCCCTCTGCACCAGGAACACCCAGGTGTACTATTGCCAGAAGTTGAAGACTAGATTGTACATTTGGGTATTGTTTATTACACCTACTGTGTAAACAAAGTTCTGTTTTTCAATTGTGCCTCAATTTTATCAGATTCAATATTATCGGACCCTTCCAGCACCTCTAACTTACAGTCTGGGCCAGTAATAGCTGTTTGGATGGTGCCTCCAGGTGTTCCTCCCCTCCATACTTGGCCAGGATGCTATCCTTGGCTGTCGTTTTGAAAGTGTCCTTCCTCTTGTCTACCTCCTTAGACAAAAGCTCCAGCTTGGTGGGGTCAGCCTGGAGGTGGACATCAGTTCCGCTCTCATAGGCATCCCACGCAAACACTACATACAGAATTAGTGTCATTATTCAATTACTGCATGTTTAGGAACTCCAGCTCCAGACAAAACAAAATACTTCTTAATATCCCTATTTCTATAGCCAACAAACTTAACTTTGCTAATAGGGCTTTAACACTACACTGGGCTTTTGAGACTACAGCTTCAATTGAAGCAGTTATTTTTTAATTAGCATTTAATTCTGCAAAATGTAAGTCAGTTTTCCCCCCTTATAATTGACATTTAAGTGAAAACAGTTTTTTCCCCTTATAATTGACATTTAGGTGAAAACAAGTCTTTCTTTGAAACTTCTGTAACTTACCTTGCTTTGTTGAGAACTCATGAGCATCACCGGAGAATCGCACGAAGTTATCACCAGTAAATTGAACCCTACAAGAAAATGAACAGTAAATCAACTGTTTCACATCTATAATAAGTTTGATGAAGATCTTTACCTAAGAAACCACTGTACCATCATCTAACAAAATTCAAAATTCAAAGCATTTGTGTGAGTTTAACAAATTTTTCAACTAAATGTGACAGCAAGGTACATCATGTACTGTAATTGTTAGTTTTAAATTTATAATACTGATCCTCACAACCAGATCAATATACAGAATACTATAATAACTGATTACAAAAGATTGTGTATGCACCAGACTGGTTGTACTTTGTTGGACACGTATACTCACTCAGATTGGTCATGACTTGTTTTTTCAAATGGATTTTGACGCATGGATCTTGTTTTCGGATCGTAAAAGGCTGAGTTAGGATCCAAGTTGTACAAATACTGCAAATTAGTAAAATAAGAAATGATGTCTACAATTTAGTCAGTACTTGTCGAAAGAGCAGTGAGAATGTATGTACATCCGTATATATAAATAGTTATGTTCATTGCCTAGTTCCAGATATTGCCTCTCAGGACCACATCATTTCTCACCACACAAAAACATTTTAGTCACCACTCACCAGTAAGTGTATGATATTAGCTGTCGAAAGGATACCCGGGTTTGTAGCTCATTTTGAAAACTTTAACAGTGCTTGTTTACAAAAACTATGCAAGTCTAAAGAAAGGCAAGAGCACCTTAGAGGAGGAAGGGAAACCTAGGCTAAAACACACTTTTATTTCACCAAACATCCAATTCAAACATATTTGTAAACAAACCAACCTTGGCGGTGTCCTCTCGAATACGGAGATTTCTGACTGTAATTCGCTGCTTGGTTTCAAACTTCTGTCCAGGCATGTCAACATCATCAGCATATTTATCCTCATCCTCACTGTTGTGAGCCCTGCCCTCCTGCTCCTCTCCCTCCCTCGCCTTGAAGGAAGCATCTAGTTTCTCCTCCTTCAGCATACGCTTTGCCTGCAGATCAAAAATACAATGATAACAATTGTACATGGTTCTTGGATGATAAAGGCAATGAATTGACATTTTACTAGTTAGGATCAGACAGTCTCAATGAGCCAGTATGTGGTTGGCTCAAAGTATTAAGATAGAGAATATGTATTGTATTGTATGTTTGTATTTAAGTTCCTGTGCTACCATGAATGTCTGTTTTATCTGGGTTTCAAACTGTCCAACACTTGGTGCTGATGTTGATTTGACAGTACAGGAAACACACATCTACACTAAACATCTAGAGATTAGTCAACGATACACAGAGCACTGAGCTGACAGCATACCTCCTCTATTCTGGCCCACTCCTCATGAATCCGCTGATGGTCATCCGGGTCGTAGCCATTCCATCGATCCCTCTTCCCATTAAAGTCATGCTCCAGAATCGGAACAATATGCTCATCTGGGCCAAAATTGTCTCCAGAAAACTTTGCACCAACTTTTCTAGGTCTCTATTGTAAGAAATGAATAATCAATTATTCTATAATCTTGTTCTGTTGAAGTTGTCAGGATCATGAAAATCATTTAATATAAATTGGTAAGAGCATTTGAGATAAACAGGCTAGGATATTTGTTATAAAATGTTTAGCCTATTTCAGATGAACAGGTTTGCCAAACCAGTTTGTCTTAAATACTCTTATTTGATATTGAGAAAAACAGGCCCAGGTAATTGATGTTAAAACCAAAGATTAAATACAATATGTATCAGAATGAACTGCTATGGGACAAACATACATTGACTTTGACATAAACAGGGTTTTAATGCTACATTGTATTTATTTAGTTATAATAACTGTGACATATATATGTTCTTACCTCAACGCAATCTTTCTTTTTATGTGTCAGAGCGCCACAGTTTTCACATGCACCCTTCCTGTATTTTGTGGCAACAGAACCCTGTTTAAGAACACAGTATAAAAGAAAAATAAATTCAACTTTTTTGGTTACCGCTTATCACTTTGCTAATATAAAATCCTCTATAAAGCAACAAATCTGACCCATTAGCATATAAATTGGCCAGAATTACCCAAGTGTAACACCAATACACATGAATGCAGTGTTTATACTTCTTCGTACATTGCCCACTGCCAGATTAATTTGAGAAATAATTTTGATTGACTTGCATCAAGTATAACTTATTCATAATGTATTGAAGTGCAAAACCCAAATAGCATTATAACAAGCTGTTACATTTAGACTAAAATTAAGTTATTGCTAAGCAACAGGTGTGTAAAAGTTAACTCATACATCTGTATACAAAAAAAAAAAAAAATATACTCAAAAACATTTTCATCAATTTTTTTCAAACTCTTTGTGTCATATAAAGTGAAAAAAAATCCAATGTTATTTCTTTTTCTGTCTAAGTGACTTTGAACAAGTAAATGATTTTTATATATTGTCTATCTTGACAACAATTTTTTTAATCAATATCATGTGCAAAGTGAACTGCCTTCCTCACTACCCAACTATTCTATTACAAATGAGCCAATGAGATTGAAGTATGAATGGAAAGTAAACATCTTAAAGCTGTTAATAATAGTTTCATCGCGATACATATCATACCAGAGAGCAATAACATTGTCTCAGAGAGTCCTTCTGGAACATAACATAAATGTTTAAGAATTTACAAGAGATAAAATAAAATGGAATGATACCTCTATAACTCCCTTCTTGAAGAGTTTTCCAAGTAAGCTAAGTTCCTTGAGTTTCTCTGGCTGTTGGCGCTGATGTTTGAGCGTGGCTGCCTCTGCTCCAAAGTACCAGGGTGCCTGCATGATGTACTGAGGGATGTGGGGATTGATGTCCCTGTAATCATCACAATGGCATATATATGAGGTATATGGAAACTGTGATATAATCAAACAAGTGTACCGCGGGGCGGAACAATATACACCCGTCGAATGCCATATAGTGTTATATTGAAATAAGATCTGCATCATTCTAAGAGTGGTTAGCTGACATGCTAAAAAAAATGTAGAAGAAAATATACAGACAAAAAAATCAAATACTGAAATGAACAAAGAGCAATAACTTTTGCAAAAATCTTCGAATCAAAATTCTTTTAAGGGAAACACAACTTCATATCATGATTATAATGTATATCAAGTTTCAAAATGATCTGTTTAAAAATGTAGGAGGAGATTGCCGGACAAAAATCAAATACTGAAATAAACAAAGGGCAATAACTTTTGCAAAAATTGTCGAATCGAAGTTCTGTTAAGGGAGACACAACTTCATATCATGATTATAATGTAAACCAAGTTTCAAAGAGATCAGTCGAATAATGTAGGAGATTGCCAGACAAACAAAAGTTTACACCGGACAGACAACCCCATACCATATTACTTCGGTCAAATTTGACGGGCGTATAAAAATCATAACCATTTACTGAAACGTGTTTAATTTCAAATCCTTATAATCCTGTGTTGAATTTTGTGCTTATCACAAAATTACATTTAAGCTAACAATATACTAATTACATGTAAAATTTTGATGACTTCTCTTTTAGGCATACTGGTAAAATATGTATGATCAATGAACATTGGTCTCTAAGATGATATCAACGAATCAGTCCAAAATTAGCACTATTTATATTCAAAAACTTGTATACTGCTGTATTACAAACCTGCCCTCTTCATCCTTCATGGCTGGAGCTGTTCCTGCCTTCCTCATCTCTTCCAACTCTTTTTCCTTCCTCCAGTCCTCTCGGGACATTTTCTGGGGCTCATTCTCCTCCATCTTGGCCTTTCTTGCCACCACAGAGGGTGGCAAGTTCAAGCCACCTGTCGCCATGGTTACAGCAACACTATGGAGTTCTCTCAAATGCTGCACTAATTGTTCCTTTGTTTGGATTCAGTTTCTGCAGATGAAAAACAAAACAACAAAATAAACAGCTGAAGTAACGAACAATTTCACTTTAATAATACATTATGTAATCAGGTTTAAATTTGTGAGATTGTAATGTGTAACACAGTTAAGATATTGATCACTGTGAATACTAACTACTATAAGTATTACATGGCAGCCCAGTTTTTTTCTCACTTTTTGTGGGAGGATTCATCAGCTATTTCATACATGCAGCTAAAATTTTCAACTCAAGATTGTAAGAATTACTGTTAGTTCCAGACTAGAGACAAAGCTTATTGTTTTAAAAGATCAGAGTGTTTTTTCTCATCCTATTACCCTCTGAAACTATTTGAGATGCCTCCATATATACACATGCAGTTATCAGGTTACTATATTCGATCACTTTTTTTTAGCAAATTGCACCAAATCAAACACATATTACAAAGTTGTTTTTAGGTTAAATGTATTGTTACTCGTCAAATATGATTTCATTCTTTTGTCCTTATCCTTCTCCGAATGATCAGCTTAAAGCATCGATATGTCATGTGAAAATAACACTGTACCGTGCATGCTTTCAATGCTGCATACAGTAGTTTTATAAAATAAGTACTAAAACCTTATTTTTATAGGTATGTATTCCCTTTCTGCGTATTGCAGAGTTATCTTCTCTTGTGAGCAGGTATTGATTGTTACATCATTGGTTTGTGAGAGTAACGTCATCAATTTTTGAGAAAACGACGTAATTTTCTCACACCAACCAATGACGTAACAATCAATACCTGCTCACAAGAGAAGATAACTACAATACGCAAAGATGGAATACCAACACTACAGCTGGGTACTGAAACATCTAGGATTCCAATTTGAAAGGTAAATCCCCACTCCCCTCCTTAAACAGGGAGTTCTTACAAAGGATAATGGATGATCTCTTAATCATACTGTCATGATAAGGGACTGTCTAAACACTCTAGATGTTAGGTAATCAGTAGTTTCAGTAGAAATTCAAATGGGGTACCGAGGTTTTGGTACTCAGTCATTTTGGTACCAAGATGTTTAGTAATTGTTTCCCGTAAGTTATTTTTGGTACATCCAAAAAGTCGTTTCGATATTTTATACGTTTTGTTTTTCACTTGGACTCATGTTTTAACTTTGTACTTTGTTTGAATTATGAGCTTGTACGTGTGTTGCTGATTTTGAATTTGAAGATTTTCCAGCATTTTTGGTCTTTACACAAAAATTACAGAAACATCCAACCTGAGGCACAGGTGTTCGGGTTCTGGAATTTATGTGATATATATGTGTATTGCACATGAATTATAGACGTTTTGCCCCAACTTTATTTCACATTGCCCCAATTTTCAGTTCATTACGACCAAAATATGACAACCATATTACGACCCAAAATCCATTTCATCCCAAAACTCTTTATCGCCACAGCCGCTACCAACCTATATTGAACGAGTTCTGATCGTAAAAAAGTGGCGGTAATAATTGCCAGTTTCACTCAATTGGCATTAATTTTTGTTTTTAATTTTCATATGATGGTTTTTTAAATATTTTTGTTTGGATGAGTTATCAGTTTGCGTATTGATGAAAGAGATTGTCAGTCAATTTGTGAAAAATAAAACATATGCCCAACTATGTGCCATCACATGCACATAATAAGCATTTTGGCCCGGGCTACATCAGTTGGGAAGCAAACATACTGTTCTTACCCTAAACATTTGGCATATCAGCATGAATATCAGCTATTTCAAATTTTCCACGACGAAGAACAAAACTGATTAAGTTGGTTTGAAATATTACATATATACGTCTCCGGTAGAATGTAACTTGGCAGAACACAATTTTATTTTTTACAGTTATGCTTTTTTTTAATTTGTTAATTAAAATAATACTTATGTGGAAGAAAGAGTAGATCTATATACAAATATAAGTACACACTCTCTTTTGCAACACACATAACAAAATGGATATTGTTGAATTTTTTTCGATCAATGACATGCATGTATAGAATCTAATTATCTTATACACTTATCATATTATCTAAAATATATAAATAGATGCCTAACATACAATTACATACTATATTCAATTCAATTCAATTCAACTTTATTCTCTTTCACAATACAATGTATATAGAGAAACATATTTACAATATAATATATAGTAATTGTAGTGTTCATAGCCGGTAGTACACAGTACTGTTTCATAATATATACACATTTGTATCGAGGAGGTAAAATATCAATCTAATTAAAATTATATCTTCACATCGCTCCCGTTTACTGATATGTCGCGTTGAAGATCTAACAACATCCCGTAGAGGGTCATGTTCAGTGACCTTTGCATTAACCAATCAGATGAGAGCTTACGCATTTCTGTAAGTGATGATGTAATGATTTCGGAACACACTTGCTATGATAAAAGACCGAGAGGTGTCAAATGAGCATCGAAAATGGCGGCGCCCATGTCTATCTACAAGACAACGTTTGTACAATTTGTGGATTTTGTTTGAAATAAGATAGACTTCCTCTTCTGGTGATGTTGTCGTTTAAAAGTTTAACAACCTGAAACTAAAATTAACCAATGACAGGTTTCGCAATATTCAAACAATCACTGGGCTACGAGGTGTCTGCATTAAATGCTACAGGTCCTGCTTTCTGATTGGTTTAAAGAAAGAGTTATGTCGCGTTTTGATTGGCTTGTTATAAATACGATAATGTATTCATGTTGACCTCTGACGTGACCCTCTACGGGATGTTGTTAGATCTTCAACGCGACATATCAGTAAACGGGAGCGATGTGAAGATATAATTTTAATTAGATTGGTAAAATATTGTTATATTCTGATAAAAGTACAAAGTTTCTTCAGTGTTTTTATATTAGTAGTATTCATTAATTCATAGAACTTAATTACATTTGGTCTCGTCCAAAAATATTTATCTATATAGATATGGTAAGTTATCGATTTATGGCACAAGAGTTATGTCCTACATATAAACATCAAACGAATGGCAACAGATCTTATTATTATAATTTTTATCTTTACGAATATAACATAAAAGCAGAGACGTATATGACATAATATAATATATTATCAGTGACGTATACATCTCTGACAAAAGGTAGATATTGCACTTTAAAATTTGTCAAATAAGTGACTTTCATTAAAGAATTTTTTGGGGCGAAATAGTTGGGGCCTTATGGAATTTTGGGACATATTGGTTGGGGCGATATGAATCAAATTTGGAGCGTAACAGCTTGGGGCGTAACAGCTTGGGGCATTTCGGCTCTGGAGAAAATCGTCTGACACCCTCGCACATCACTGCAATATGTGCCCGAGCACCTGTGACCTTAGACTTAGGTAGGGCTGAAACATCTAGGATACCTACAGCCATGTTGGAAAGTTCGTCTCAATTCCGATACAGGTCAGACGTCTAAAATTGTGGAAATTGTAGTAAACATGGCGGCATCAGTAGTAATACTATATTTGGCCATGCAGGCCATATATAGAAAGGATAATTAAGATAGCATCATGCAAAAGCAGAAATTTTACATTGATGAAAAATGAAAATAAACATCTAAATGTATGCTTTTTGCAGTCAACATTACCATAAACTTTAATGTTTTATGCGATTTTGCTTTAACTTAATAATATAGCTAATATAGGTCTTTGTAGCTATAACTTATAGCTCAATCGCGATCGGCAGAGTGTACTTGACCTGTCATATGAGGAGTGAATTATATGTAATCTTACACTTACAGATTACCCTTTTTGATTTTACTCCATTAGTTGCCATAGGACCGCTTCGTAGCTCTGACGACGCAATACATAAAAAAAATCTCTCGTCGTCAGAAAGCTACGTTACAGCAGCTAGAAACATCATCGATCAGTCCCTACTAACTCTACTGTAGTCTTCCAATCTGGCTATTGAAAAAGTGTAGTGAACGCGTCGTGCAGTGTGCCTACTGACCTAGCCTTCTGTGCTAAATTTATGTGTCAACGGTGTATTCCTTACCTAAACAGTATTGTACTGGTGAATTACATAATTGAGCTATGGCATAACTACTGTCCACATCACTCCATCAGGGCGACTTGCTTCAATCGTTGAACGTTGAACGACGAAGTTTTCCAGTAAGCGTCTTATTGACAATGATCAAAACAAAAATATTGTAAAATGAAAATTATTTTATAAAATGATATCCGGATTAAATACCATTCCATCCTTTGAAATGGAAAAAAACAATCATATAACTGTATTATACATCTAAAAGAACAGATCTCGTTTAAGGTTATAACTTTTCATATTTATTGTTTTGAGCTAGACTCTACTGCCTGTTCACGTTTCGATTATTTTGATACTATTATTTTTTGTTGTAAAGGTTTAACAAATACCACAGCAAACTTAATAAACTTATTTTAACTCAAATTAATTAAAAAAATTAGTTTAATTCACTCACCACAACTTATTTATAAAGAATAATTTCGTTACTTAATTTTGTATCCGGAAATAAGATACAGATATTTCATTTTGTTTTAAATTTTAGAATATCCTAAGGCATCTTCGTCTGCTGAATGTTTGATAATAGTAAAAAAAAAAAAGGAAAAACGTGTGTTGTGTTCCAGAATGAAATAGGCGAAGAACATGGTGCTAAAACTTGAAACTGTACTAATTGTATTGTTATAAATTTAACTCAAAATGAATTTGTTACGGACAACTCGTTTCAACCATTTTGATATTAAAAATATCCGTCTCGGATGCTTGACCACACACCTTCAGTCAAGTGAGATTTTTCTCGGTGGTCAAAAGTCATATGTTCATATCTCGGCAAAGAGATCTAAAACAATAAAAGAGATGAGAGAGCTCAAACTTAATAAGGGCGTTGTAAAGCCTGTTGTTGAAATAGACAATGTTCCGTCCTCTGTTAGAGCTGCAATAGGAAAGAGGAAGATAGAACTTTCTGAAGTGAAAACGGATGTTGGAAAAAGAGAGGAACTGACATTGGATAAACTAGAAGACAAACTTCGGTCTATTCAATGGGATATGAATGCCATTTTGAAAAAGGCTGATGAATCGCAAAGTCCAGATGATCACCAGATAATAGAGAAAGACGAAGAGAGTCTTGATGGATTCACAGAAATCGTTAACATTGATCCAGAAAAATATTCAAAAAGACGTAAAAGGAAAAGCAGACTTACTGAATCAACGTCGCTACCAGATCCTAGCATGCCAATATCAGATATTCCCTGTAGAGGGTGTGGTGCCAAGTTGCATTGTCAGAATGCTTCATTAGTTGGCTATATTTGTAGCTCAAAGCTGAAATCATCTACCATTGAAGAGCTCCAAGACACCATGTGTGAAAGATGCCACTTGTTGAGGACACGTAAAGTTACTCTACCAGTTGAAGTTGATGAGGATCAAATTCCAAAGTTGTTTGAAAGTATAAGATCTGAAAGGTGTTTGGTTCTGTTAATACTTGATTTACTTGACATCCGTAATAGTATTCCAAAAAATATTGTAGACCTGATCGGTCCAACAAAGGATTTATACATTGTAGGAAGTAAGGTTGATATGATTCCAAAAGATGGAGATGGCTTCCTTGAGAGGGTGGAGTCAGGACTTGTTAGTGCCTGTATGGATGCAGGCATTGATGTGCATGCTAGTCATGTCCGTCATATCGGACTAATCAGCAGTCTTACTGGTTATGGCATTGAAAATCTTGTTACAAAACTTCTGAGTGATTGGGAATTAAAAGGTAGTTATATTTTTGAAATACAAAAAAGGTCTCTGGTCTATTGGCTTTTGATAGCCAGTGATATGTTTGGTGTGACAAATTGTTCAATCAAAAATGGTTTTAAACAACTTTACAAAATGTCTCGATTTTTTTCTCCCAAAATACAGAAAACAAATTCAAACTAAATTTCACAGTAATGGTGAACTCACCACTGTGACATAGGTTTAAAGTAAACTGTAACAAATCTGTTCTGGTTTAAAACTTGACCAAAAAAAGTATGATCAGTTTGATATATTTTAGGGATGCTCATGATCATATATATATTGCAAACTTTAAGGATTCTGTTAGTTACAGAACTTTGCTTTCTGAATATGTATATAACTATACTATATGATTCATTTCTAACGATCAACCTCCTTAAAATAACTGATAATTTACTTGTTCATATACTATATATCCTGGTTTATATTTTTCAGACAATTTTAATACATTTGATGTGATCAAATACAGTTTTGAAATACCTCGAGATAAACAGGGTCTTTGAGTTAAAGAGTTCAAGATAACGAGGTTCAACTGTATATCACATATAGTATATAAATGATTTATTTAAGGCTGATAGCAATTTTGTCATTTCAGGAAATGTTTATTTCGTTGGGAACATGAATGCTGGAAAGTCAACGTTGTTTAACGCTCTGCTGCGGTCAGATTACTGTAAATTTTCTGCTCGAAGTGGACTACCAAGGGCGACTGTGGCTGACTGGCCAGGTATATGTAACTAAGTATGAGAGAAAACTTTGTTGTAATGGAGTTGTATGAAACATTTAAATAGGGCCGTACATCTCAAACCCCTGTCACACTATATTCCGTCTTTGCGTATTGCAGAGTTATCTTCTCTTGGGAGCAGGTATTGATTGTTACGTCACTTGTTTGTGAGAATAACGTCATCAATTTTTGAGAAAACGACGTAATTTTCTCACACAGACCAATGACGTAACAATCAATACCTGCTCCCAAGAGAAGATAACTCTGCAATACGCAAAGACGGAATAGCTAGAGCCACATTCCCACGGCGTCTAAGAAAAATCCAGAATGCCAATCTGCGTGCAGTCGAATCGCAAGCATTGCGCGGCGGGATCGTATAGAACGCCGAGCGACGGGATGCACTTTGAGCATGCCCAAAACAAACGCTGTTGCTTGGCGTTCTAATAAGAGCGTAGTGGGATCGCCGTAGCAGCGCAGTTAGGTCTCCTTCAACGACACAGGATCACCGAGGGCGCGCACAGAGGTCATAGTGCGAACGCAATGGTTATCGGTGGCGCACGCTTGCACAGCGATCGTACAGCGTTCTCTGAGATGATACTGCGTCTCTACCGCACTTATACGGCCATCTACGACGCGTCTACGCCGCCTACAAGGAGTTTTATTTTTCTTACTGCGTTCTTACAACGATTGTTCGGAGCTGCCACGGCGATCATTGCGCTCCCAATGCGCTTCTTCCACGTCAATTGGCGTTTGCATGACAATGAACCAAGCCAACAAAATAGGATAAAGGAATGATTTATATGAAAAAGTATAGGTAGTGCAAAACAATGCGCCGTGAAAGCCCGGTGCACATGCAGTGTGCGCACATGACAACTCGATGCACGCAGTGGAAGCGCCGAGAGAGCTCCATGAGAGCACAGACAATCGCCAACTAGAACTCCGTAGGAATGCCGTAGAACACCATGGATCTGCGTAGAAATGCCAAGGTCGTTGTGAGAACGCTGTGACATCGTCATCTTCATGAAAAATATTAATTTTTTCCTGCGATCTCACAGCGCTCTTGGGAAATTTAACAACGCCGTGTAATCGCAGTGGCAACACGGCTAGGTGTGACAGGGGTTGTAGCTCACGAAATTTCCCCTTCCCCCACAATGAAGTTAGGAGGGAGGATACCAGAATCAGATTGATGTAATGAATTGCCATACATATGCTTTTCATTTCAGTTTGGTTACTTTTATTGGAGCAGTGTCGTTTTACGACTGTTCAGTTAACGAAAGCTGCCTGATTTGTTGTTTAAATGTTACCTCAATAGGAAGTGATCTGGTATTGTTCAGAAATGTAGCATCTAATCTAGATTTGAGAAGTGTTTAATACACATGGTATTTGTTTACATCATGTAATTGGGAGAGGGGTTCTATATCATCAAGTCACTAGCCAAATGGATACATGCATTATGCAAATGTACTGTCTTCAAGCCAATCACAATACTACTTAAGTCATTGTCTCTAAATTATATGATGCAGCAATGTCTGTTTTTAAATTTGAAATTAAGAAATCTACTGTTTACACCAAACTTACAACTTGAAACTTTGTCTAATAATTTTGTAATCTATAAAATACCTACAGTACTTAACTAATCATTTACTAATGTACTGTGTATATATACATTTCAGGTATCAGTCATCCTTATGATAAAAGATATAAAACTAGGAAGATGTTGACTCTCATTTGTGACTGTTATACTTATACCTAGCTATATAACATCCTGTACAGTTTATACATGGGTATGTTATAATTCATCCGGGAAACTTCTGCTCTAACTTGACGTAATGACAAGTTCTGGCTGGCGAGTTAGTTCTCTGATAAAGTACAGTATTCTGTTCACAGGGAAATTTGGTATTACATTTTGTATGTTGTATGATGATTAATGTGAAGGGTAAAATTGATGCTGTGCAAATATGGAGGGCTAAAGTTTCGCATGTACATCTACAACCTGTTTGCTAAACAGGTAATATTCTTGAACAAAAGGAAATTAATGATTGAGCACTTGATGTATAATTATCTACAGAACAAATATTTCTTATATGTACAGGAACAACTGTGAGTGTTCTCAAATTCCCCATTACCACTCCCATGGGGTGGAAGTTAGCAAAGCGTGCTGCACGATTTGGTAAGCACAGAAATAGTTACCAGAAGGAACTAGAGCTAAGACGCTCCAAGGCAAAGGAAGGCAACTGGAAATACGCCTCAGTGGCAGGTAAGTTTTTTGTCAACTTAACTAAACATTGAACTCTGATAGATTGAGACCATAAGGCATCATTTTTACAGGAATATTTAGAATTGCAAAACGGTAACTCAACATAAGCTTTAACTGATTCAAAGCCGGTAAGTGATCTTGACATTTGTATTTGTAAAATGAAAAAGTTTGACGCCAATGATGCAGACATTTATGATTATTAAAACTAAAACACGATGTAATAGTTGTAATTAGCAGGTACGTTAGCCATTAAATACATATAAACCATAGCTAAAAGAAGTTTGTAGCTTATAAAATAGAAAGCCAATAACTCTATAAATAGATTCCTACAATAAAGCCTCGATGCTGGGATTTTCTGTTGGAAATTATCTTTCCCATCAGCAGAACATGGATGCTAATATTTCCCTGTCACCCCGTAAAATCATCTTCATGATTGTAAAGGTCACCCATCCTCTTTGAGGAAGAGGTTAGATAGTGTTAATCCAAAAGAAATCTTTTTGGCATCTTTATGTTTCAGGCCCTTGGGTCTGTTGTAACAGGGCATTCAGTTTTGTTATCTGCTAATATGTAACTCCCCTTGAATAAATAAAAAACAACTAATTTAGTGAATTTGACATGTATGTTTTAATTAAGAAAGTATCATCAGCACTATTGGAGATCAAAGTGTTTAAACTGTAAAATAAAAAAAAAACACTATCTTATAAGATGGAGTGAGAATAAGGCAGGGATCAGTGCATAAGCTTTAATTTTTAGCCTACCTATTTCAGGTGGTGAGCTTTTCAAATCGTCTGTCGTCCATGATCCGTCTGTCATCAGTTAAAACAGGTTTTTTTTATCACTGCATGTTACTCAAAAAGTACTGAACTGATCTTTTATAAATTTCATATAAAGGTTCCCCTTGGTCTCTAGTTGTAAATGTTTCATTTTGTGACTGATCTGAAAAAACAGAAGAAAAAAAGTGAAGGGAAAAGATCATTCAATGAATGGTCAGAGACAATTAATATCCCAGAGGGATCTGTTGTATAATTATCAGTTTCCTTGAAGCTACTTTCAGTTGTCATGCCAGCTGAACAAAGAAATATTGTTTGTTGAAAATAATTTATTGTGACAGGCATTGTGGCCGCCACAGATTTCCGGGATGAAGCCGATATAATAAAGTCTTACCACGAAAAGGACAGGTACAAAGGCTACGACTCCCCTATGTATGAGTACTCGGCTGATAAGGTGATCGTCAAGAGGGATACTAAACCTCCCGAGCCAAAGACAAAGTTTGACCCAAAGAAGTATGAAAGAGCAAAATGGCTGTGTGATACCCCAGGTATCAGAAACACAGAATCAGTAAGTACCATAACTGAATATATATATGTGTGTCCCATTTGATCAAAGTTTTAGGAAATTGTCTCCAGCATTTCGTTTGTTTGCTCGTGTTTGTCAAAGTATTCATATATATATGTAGGATCTTACACGAGTTTCCATTTCATATGAGATTTATGAAACGAGTCTAAGAATTTTTCAATTTAGCGAGCCTCTGGCGAGTTAAATTGAAAAATTAGTGACGAGTTTCATAAATTTCATATGAAATGAAAACGAGTCTAAGATCATTTTTATTACATAATCAAGATTTGTGGCATTTATTTGTGTAAAACTACAATTTTCATGCAAACTTGAAATGTAAAAAGCTGCCATTTTGACTACAGTGCGTAAGTCTGTGACGTCATGTACTTGTAAATGTCCTAGGCGTGATGTCAAATTGAAACAAAAGAAACTTACAACCAATCACAGGGCTGATAGGTTATATTACATGGGTTAATACGCAAAAAATGGGTATATTTACTGGATAACACAGTACATTATATGATAAATCAAACTGCATTACTTGTATGGTTCTGTACTAGGATTTTGGTAGTTTGAAGATTCCGATTTGTCTTTTAAGACTACCTCTTGCAAAAGTGAAGCAACAGGGAGTTGTACAGTCCAAGGTGAAACACTGCTTTGCCTGCAGTTTGCAATAGATGTGGGGGTAGAGGAGATTCTTAAAGTGGTCAGCACTGAGAAATCTACAAAATTTACATATAAATTTAAATAAGTTTGTGGTTAATTGGTTGATGATAATCTGTTAAGTACCTGTGCACATAATATAAACACTAATTCTGCATTATCAGATATTATTGATACGTTTCATAGGGAGATAACTCTTGACACAAATCCTGAACTATAAGGGGAGATATATTAAACGGAACTATGAATGGATCATGAAAACTTGTAGATTTAATTTCGAATGTTGTTTGAATAAAGTGTTGTTAGAAGTGACAAACCAGTTAATCTGTGTTTGCTTATTGCAGAGTTATCTTCTCTTGTGAGCAGGTATTGATTGTTATGTCATTTGTTTGTGAGAGTAACGTCATCAATTTTTGAGAAAACGACGTAATTTTCTCACACAAACCAATGACGTAACAATCAATCCCTGCTCACAAGAAAAGATAACTCTGCAATACGCAAAGACGGAATACTATAAACTATATTATAATGCTGGAGTGACTTCAACAAGACAAAGGGTAGAAAAAACAACATGACAAGAGGAGGTGTAGGGCTGACTTTAACAACTACAGGACATAGGGAGAACAAAACAAAAGTGGATATGACAGGTGGTGTAGGGGTAACTCTACCAGGACATAGGATAGACAAAACAATAGTGGATATGACATGAGGTGGTGTAGTGGTAACTCTACCAGGACAAAGGGGAGACAAAACAATGGTGGATATGACATGAGGTGGGGGAGTGGTAACTCTACCAGGACAAAGGGTAGACAAAACAAAGGTGGATATGACATGAGGTGGTGTAAGGAAAACTCTACCAGGACAAAGGGTAGACAAAACAATAGTGGATATGACATGAGGTGGTGTAGTGGTAACTCTACCAGGACAAAGGGCAGACAAAACAATGGTGGATATGACATGAGGTGGTGTAGTGGTAACTCTACCAGGACAAAGGGGAGACAAAACAATGGTGGATATGACATGAGGTGGTGTAGTGGTAACTCTACCAGGACAAAGGGCAGACAAAACAATGGTGGATATGACATGAGGTGGTGTAGTGGTAACTCTACCAGGACAAATGGTAGACAAAACAATAGTGGATATGACATGAGGTGGTGTAGTGGTAACTCTACCAGGACAAAGGGGAGACAAAACAATGGTGGATATGACATGAGGTGGTGTAGTGGTAACTCTACCAGGACAAAGGGCAGACAAAACAATGGTGGATATGACATGAGGTGGTGTAGTGGTAACTCTACCAGGACAAAGGGCAGACAAAACAATGGTGGATATGACATGAGGTGGGGTAGTGGTAACTCAACCAGGACATAGGATAGACAAAACAATAGTGGATATGACAGGTGGTATAGGGGTAACTCTACCAGGACATAGGATAGACAAAACAATGGTGGATATGACATGAGGGGGTGTAGTGGCAACTCTACCAGGACAAAGGGTAGACAAAACAATGGTGGATATGAGATGATGTGGTGTAGTGCTGACTCTACCAGGACATAGGGTAGACAAAACAATGGTGGATATGACAAGAGGTGTAGGGGTAACTCTACCAGGACAAAGGGTAGACATTACAATAGTGGGTATGAATAATGCTGGAGTGACTTCAACAAGACAAAGGGTAGAAAAAACAACATGACAAGAGGAGGTGCAGGGCTGACTTTAACAACTACAGGACATAGGGAGAACAAAACAAAAGTGGATATGACAGGTGGCGTAGGGGTAACTCTACCAGGACATAGGAAGGACAAAACAATAGTGGATATGACAGGTGGTGTAGGGGGAACTCTACCAGGACATAGGATAGACAAAACAGTGGTGGATATGACATGAGGTGTTGTAAGGGGTAACTCTTCCAGGACATAGAGTAGACAAAACAATGGTGGATATGACATGAGGTGGTGTAGTGGTAACTCTACCAGGACAAAGGGTAGACAAAACAATAGTGGATATGACATGATGTGGTGTAGTGGTAACTCTCCCAGGACAAAGGGTAGACAAAACAATGGTGGATATGACATGAGGTGGTGTAAGGGGTAACTCTACCAGGACATAGAGTAGACAAAACAATAGTGGATATGACTTGATGTGGTGTAGTGGTAACTCTACCAGGACATAGGGTTGACACAACAATGGTGGATATGACATGAGGTGGTGTAGTGGTTACTCTACCAGGACATAGAGTAGACAAAACAATAGTGGATATGACTTGAAGTGGTGTAGTGGTAACTCTACCAGGACATAGAGTAGACAAAACAATGGTGGATATGACATGAGGTGGTGTAGTGGTTACTCTACCAGGACATAGAGTAGACAAAACAATAGTGGATATGACTTGAAGTGGTGTAGTGGTAACTCTACCAGGACATAGGATAGACAAAACAAAGGTGGATATGACAGGTGGTGTAGTGGTTACTCTACAAGGACATAGGATAGACAAAACAAAGGTGGATATGACTTGATGTGGTGTAGGGGTAACTCTACCAGGACATAGGGTAGACAAAACAATGGTGGATATGACATGATGTGCTGTAAGGGAAACTCTACCAGGACAAAGGGTAGACAAAACAAAGGTGGATATGACATGAGGTGTAAGGGTAACTCTACCAGGACAAAGGGTAGACATTACAATAGTGGGTATGACATGAGGTTGTGTAAGGGGTAACTCTACCACTACCAGGACATAGGATAGACAAAACAAAGATGGATATGACATGATGTGGTGTAGTGGTAACTCTACCAGGACATAGAGTAGACAAAACAATAGTGGATATGACTTGATGTGGTGTAGGGGTAACTCTACCAGGACATAGGGTAGACAAAACAATGGTGGATATGACATGAGGTGTAGGGGTAACTCTACCAGGACATAGGGTAGACAAAACAATGGTGGATATGACATGATGTGGTGTAGTGGTAACTCTACCAGGACAAAGGATAGACAAAAACAAAGGTGGATATGACATGGGGTGGTATAGTGTTGACTCTACCAGGACATAGGGAAGACAAAACAATGGTGGTTATGACATGATGTGGTGTAGTGGTAACTCTACCAGGACATAGGGTAGACAAAACAGTGGTGGATATGACATGAGGTGGTGTAGTGTTGACTCTATCAGGACATAGGGTAGACAAAACAATGGTGGATATGACATGAGGTGGTGTAAGGGAAACTCTACCAGGACATAGGGTAGACAAAACAAAGGTGGATATGACATGAGGTGGTGTAAGGAAAACTCTACCAGGACAAAGGGTAGACAAAACAATGGTGGATATGACATGAGGTGTAGGGGTAACTCTACCAGGACATAGGGTAGACAAAACAATGGTGGATATGACAAGAGGTGTAGGGGTAACTCTACCAGGACATAGGATAGACAAAACAGTGGTGGATATGACATGAGGTGGTGTAAGGGGTAACTCTACCACTACCAGGACATAGGGTAGACAAAACAAAGGTGGATATGACATGAGGTGGTGTAGTGTTGACTCTATCAGGTCATAGGATAGACACAACAGCAATAGATACTATAAACCATCATAATTTGGAAACTTTAAATATATTAATTTTCAATTAATGTAATGGTAAAGCGTGATAACTTAGTATTTGGAAAAGCAATTGGATTTTCAAACATTGTTGCAACGGACTGAAATGTGGCTGTTTTAATGTGTTTGAACAGGTTACTTTTTTCTCTTTTAATATTGTGATTCATTATAGTAGACCATAGGTGTTCGTAGTTCCATGGTAGCAATTAAGACATTTTTCTTTGGTTGTGATTTCATCCTGTAGAAAGTCAACTGTTAATATGTTATGGCATCTACCAAATTCTCCAGAACCACATTAATACTGGGTTTTGACCCTTCTTGGGGGTGGAAGGGCTGAATCCAATATGGGTGAAAGTAATGGTAAAAGACTAAAAAGTGCTAGCCTATAGTAATTGTTTTTCATTTGTTATAGATGATGACCTATCTACATCCAGATGAACTGTGTGCCATCCTCCCCCAAAATGTAATGATGCCACGCCCCTTCCTCCTCCAACCAGGAGATGTTATCTTTGTTACAGGGCTGGGGAGACTCGACTACCTCGAGGTGACTATGGCATGATCATTTTCAGTTATTAGATTATCTAGTCCAAAGGATAAAGGTGAGCTTATGCCATTACATGCTGTTCGTCATCAGTCCATCTGTCAGCAATTGGAAACATTCTCAGGTGGTCACAACTTGGACACAGCTGAAATCCCCACCTTATAACCATATAGTTAAAAGTTATACAATTGCAGTGCATGAAAAGTACTACCAGGATTGGCCTCGGGGTTTTTCCCCACCCAAAGGGGCTTAGTCCCTTGGTTATAACATGAAAACAGTTAACCTGATCTCCACCCTTTATTCTTGCCATACGAACAATTACTGATTATGAAAACTAAAAATAGCCACAGGTACCAGGATTGGCTCCAGGGTCTTGCCCCATACTTGATGACTTGGTCCCTGGATGATTACTTTTGCAGCGGTTGAGATCTCCACCCCATAACCACAATATGCAACTGTTGTTTAAAATTCTGATACAGATATGCTACAAGGATAAGACTCTGGGTCATAACATGGAAAGGGTTGAGATCCCCACCCTTTAACGAGTTATACAAATTGCTGGGCATAAAGGGAAAGATAACAATCATGCTAACAGAATTGGTCTTGGGGTCTGTCAACCCTTAGGGACTTACTCCCTGGGTCTTAACATCGAAACATTTGAGATCACAAACCTAGATCAATATACAATGTTGAAATACAGTGTACTAGAATCACATATGTTACCAGGATTGGTACTGGGGTTCAATTTTATCCCTGGGATCTTCTTTGCAATATTACTTTTAATGAGTACATTTTGCTATGATTGCTTCAATATCCAGGTTAATGATAAACCTGTAGGTCCTCTTGGCCTTTTGACTATATAAATTATGTGAAGTTCAATTACAGAATATAAAACTTGATGACCATGTAGACTAAAATTTGAAAACAGTGTCATTAATTAGGGCCCCGTATCGGAGATACGGGTGCCCCACAGTAATCACTCTGTCTGTCTGTCTGTCTGTCCGTCCACAAATTTTGTTCCTGGCTGATAACTTTGATATTTATTGACCGATGTACATGAAACTTGGTCAAGATGTTCAGTTCACAAAAATACACATTGAGGTAAAAAGTCAAGGTTAAATGTCAATGTCATAAGGTTCAAAGGTCAAGGTCAAATTTTGTATCTTTTCACTGATGAATATTTTGTTATGACACTTTGAAGCAATGTTGCTCTGAATTAAACGAGGAGTCAAATGACCAAAGGTTAAAGTCATCGGGTCAGGGGTCAAGGTCAAATTTTGTAGCTTTTAACTAATGAGCATTTTATGACATTATGAAGCAAAGTTGTTCGGAATTAAACAAAGAGACACACTGAGGTAAAAAGTTGAGATCAAAGGTTAAAGTAATTAGATTCAAAGGTCAAGGTCAAATTTTGCTTTTTTTCACTGATGAACATTTTGTTATGACATGATGAAGCAAAGTTGATCAGAATAAAACAAGGAGTCAATTGACCAAAGATCAAGGTCACTGGGTCAAAGGTGAAGGTCAAATTTTGCTTTTTTTCACTGATTAACATTTTGTTATGACATGATGAAGCAATGTTGCTCAGAATAAAACAAGGAGTCAATTGACCAAAGATCAAGGTCACTGGGTCAAAGGTGAAGGTCAAATTTTGTTATGACATTTTGCAGCAATGTTGGTCAGAATCAAAAAAGGAGTCAATTGACCAAAGGTCAAGGTCACTGGGTCAAAGGTCACAGTCAAATTTTGTATCTTTTCCCTGATGAACATTTTGTTATGACTTTATGAAGCAAAGTTGGTCAGAATTAAAAAAGGAGTCAATTGACCGAAGGTCAAGGTCACTGGGTCAAAAGTCACAGTCAAATTTTGTATCTTTTCCTTGATGAACATTTCATTATGACTTTATGAAGCAAAGTTGGTCGGAATTTAAAAAGGAGTCAACTGACTTAAGGTCAAGGTCGTTAGGTCAAAGGTCAAGGTAAAATTTAGTATTATTTTGCTGGTGAACATTTCATTATGACACTTTGAAGCAATGTTTGTGGGAATTAAACAAGGAGTCATTAAACCAAAGGGCAAGGTCATTGGTCAAAGGTCAAGGTCAAATTTTGTATCTTTTCACTGGTGAACATTTTATGACATTATGATGCAAAGTTGGTCCGAATTTAAAAAGGAGTCAACCGACTTAAGGTCAAGGTCATTTTATGTTATTATGTAGCAAACTTGTTCAAAACTTAACACAGAGTCAACTGACATTCGGTCCAGGTTACAGGGTCTAAAGGGTCAAGGTCAAGTTTTGTATTTTTCACTGATGAACATTTTGTTATGATATTATGAAGCAAAGTTTGTCGGAATTAAAGAATAAGTCAACTGACCATAGATCAGGGTCACTGGGTTAATGGTCAAGGTCATTTGGGTCCAAAGGTCAAAGACAAAGTGGATCTCTGACTTTGACCCTGGCTCTTGATGAAGGAGGTCTATAAGGTGATAAAACAAATCAAAGCTAACAAATGAGTATTGCCTCGGTATTTACATTTCTGTTAGCCCAGCAAATATGGAGGTGGAAGGAAACAAGGCTCACATAATAGTACATGTAAAATGTATATTTTGCTTCCTTGCGATTCTATTTGAAGTCCAAATGTCGAACGTCACACTCAGTTATATGGGCAAATTGCTTCTTGGTGATTATGGGGAATATATTGCCACAAGACGGGGCCCTTACTGACCTGTAAGTGTTCTAGTTTTGCTTCAAAATGTACATGTACTATACTATGTACTATTGTATCATATGATAGAAAAAACAGAAAAGATCACAAGTGAATGCTATTTTATTTATGAGGAGTTCTGACAATTTTTGTGTGTTTTCAGTCACACACTAAGAATTAAAGGTACATGTACACGTATGTTAACTCACATGAAGACTGTTTACATCATAAACAGTCTGTGTTCGAGGGGTCAAAGTCTCTGCAGGATTTCTCTAACAAGTGATAAGGGGGTAATCATAAACAGTCTGTGTTCGAGGGGTGAAAGTCTCTGCAGGATTTCTCTAACAGGTGATAAGGGGATAAGCCCAAGTGACTCTGGTTCTCCAGTTCTGTGATCACTGAATGTCGCACAATAGAAAATAATTGTATTTCACCAACCAAAGCAAGTGTTGAAGTAGAAATATCGAAATAGCAATTTAGGAATGTTTGCAATGCATTTTAATGTGTCCAGGATGAAAGATTTTTTTGATTGTCTCACCTTTACCATATAGTGTACAAATAATATGTAAATATGGGACGTCTATCCAATAAGCTGTTGATACTATTTCTATAGGGAAATTCTAAAGTATTGATCACAACGTTTGTGAACTCCCGGCTTCCCGTGATCAACTCTACACTGGCTGAGGCAGACGAATTATACAAGGAAAATATTGGCAAAGACCTATTCCGGGTGAGTGTTTTCTCCAAGAATACCAAGGATGGGGATGACGGAATAACAAAACGACTTCGCTGTTATGCATGAATAAAAATTGAAAAATGTTATCTTAGGTCAAGGTTGCAGGCCTAGGTTACCTAGTACACACCACAAACAGGAATAAGAAGAAAGGTGGGGGACAGGAATTGCATTTGAAAAAAAAAATGTAAAATAGGATTTCTAGCCATCCATCAACTGATGGTGGGTCGTTCATATCACGCTTTGTCCAAGGTCCGTGGTTGGACCTTCGTCCTTATATAATTGTTGATAGAGATATTTCTCAAAAAGTACTTGTCGGCCTTTCTCAAATTTCATACTAAGGTTCACATTATTTCTCATTTGTGCATGATTTGGGCTGATCAGAAAAACAAGACGGATTTAAATTATTCAAATTGGTTATCACTACATTGTATTTCACATTGTATTTCTAAACAAATACTGGAGAAATCCTTTTCAAATTTCCCGTGTTCCTATAGTCCTTAGTTGTGTGTGTTTCCTTATTAGACGGATCAAGTTAACAAGATGGCTACCAGGCAGCCATCTTGTTTTGTATTGTTGAACTGTCTCCCCTCGTTGGGAGGCTGCTTGAACTGTGGCTGGGGTTCTTCTCCCTAGGGAACCTGGAAATTAGATGTCATCTCCATTATGGAATGGGTTGAAAAAATAACCTAGATATAACTTAATGTGGTTACTGTGACCTACTTCTCATGCTTTTTCCTACACCAAAAAATGACATTAAGTTCAGAAATAAAGCTAGGATTATTTTTTGACCTGATTAAGTCACTGTGACCTAATTGTTAAAATTTGACCTATAATTAAGATTGTTTTTTCTTTGGTCTTGGAAATTAACATAGAACTGATTTATTTACCAAATTAGGCCAAATTTGACCTACAGACCCGTACACGTTCGCTGTTCCACTTTCAGCGTACCGTTTGCGTAGCATTTCCGTACCGTTTGCGTAGCACTTGCGTATCACTTGCGTAGCATTTCCGTAGTACTTCCGTACCATTACTGTAGCATTTCCGTAGCACTTGCGTAGCGTTTCCGTAGCACTTCCGTATCGTTTCCGTAGCACTTGCGTCTACATCTTTCCATTTAAAAAGCGTTTGTGAAACGTTCGGTCGAAAATTTTACGGAATATATATTTGTCGAATCGAATTGTAAAAAAACCCATTATAAACCGCATTACGTGAAAATTATTCAAACCATCATTATAATCTGAAGGGAAAACCCCCACAAAAATGACGGTTTACACATACATGGACGTAACAGCCCTCTTCCCATGGGCCTACTGTGTGTTCCCCACACCAGCATCTAGGCCTTAGGGGTAATTTAAATAACAGGCATACAGCTGGCCATGTGGTAATGACCTGTCCCTTGTTTAAGGTATAAACAATTTTAGTGTCCGTTATAAAGGGTGTTAGGGCAACATGACCACCCGCTGACAGATACATTTCTTTCAATATGATATCTACATACCTGAGAATCTAGGCAGTGATAATGCATTGACCATTCACCTGTGGTCACATTGGATTCTGATGTGCTGTACCTGATCAAGGTCACATTCTGTGATTTCAAGTCAATTAAGTCCATGTCAATTAATCCAGTTCATTGTCTATCCACCACGTACAGCTGTATACAGGTAAATCAGTTCAAGGTAAAAACCAACAGGTAAGATACTTTGGCTGTCCCTCGATCAGGAAATGACAGCCCCAGGCACAATTTCATTTCACAACAGTGCCTTTACCAAGGTAAACTAATATTTGGAACTTGGAATTCCTAATTTAATAAATAAAAATAAAAAACTTATTAGGATATTTAACTTCTCACGTAGATGATATGTTTTAAAACTAATCTATTTTTTTTTAAATGATCTATCATGAGTTCTGTTTTCAGCGAGCAAGGTTGAATACTAACCCTAATACGTAACAAACTTTTCATATCAGATTATTGAAATGATGATATTTTTCAGTAATCAATAAAAAAATCATTATGAAGATAACTTTATTGTCATCATGTGACTGAGTTCCTGAGAAAATAGAGTGTTGTCTATAGCAGAGACATATATATTACAAAACGTCTCTGTCTATAGTAAGTTTGTTAACGGAGTGCCCTCTCTGTGTGTGGTAATTATAAAGGTGTCAAAAATCAGTCAAGCGGTTCCGGGCTAGTGTACCTATGAACTTACATGGTTCAATGAAAAAGATAATTGACCTTTAAACAGCTGACCAATTAGTACCACTTAGCGCCTTAGCAAGTTCAATTCAATTCAATTCATTTATTAACTTTCGGCCTTACGGCCCATCAGTACAAACATATCAATACAATGCATAATATACACAATAACACGGCTCACAATATACAGTGAGAGAGTGGAGTAAATAAATTAGATTCTTAACTTATTAGCTTCAAAAATATATTTACCAAGTTGACATAATTCCTTAGTATTGTTAACACACAATAATTGTATAAATTTAAACATGGATGGCTTTTTCCAGTAGTACTTTTTAATAAGGCGACTTCTTAAGTTTTGGTAGGTTTTACATATCAGAATAAAATGGTATTCATCTTCGACTTCTGTAGCCGAATTACAGTTCGTACAATATCTCTGTTCTCGAATAACGTTGCGATATCTACCGGTCTCGATTGCTAATGAATGTGCAGACATTCGTAACTTTGTTAGACTAATTCTATAATTCTTAGGAATATATTTGGTTAAATAATACTGAATGGAAAAGTGGTCTACGATACACTTGTATAAAAAACACTTAGAGGAAGTCTCTAGTAAACCTCTTAAATGTTGTTGGCCTTGGTCAAAAATTCTTTGACGAATAAGCGGTAAAATTAATTTAACATTAGTCGACGATTGGCTTAACCATACATCACCAAAGCCCAAAGCAAATAATTCATTTTTTACATGGTGTACCCAGTTAAAGCAAGTACATGTAATCTGTTTTGATAAAAAAGAATATGCACAGTTCAGAATACAATTTTTCGAGTCGAGTAACTTAAACCAATACTTAATGATTCTGTATTTTCTGATACATTCTAAAGGCAAGCGACCAAGTTCGAAATATACCATTGCATTACATGTGGATTTTTTAACTTTGAGGAGTCTCTTACAGAAATTCAAGTGCACATTCTCAATGTCTATTCCTTTTATGGATCCCCATACTTCACATGCGTAACTTAATATGCTAATAACATATGTATCGAACAAATGTAACATGGTCTTAAAATTAAGACTAAGATTGGAGCATTTTGATAATAAAGCAAACATAGCTTTACGACCTTGGTCAGCTAATTGTTTCTGAATACTATTGAACTTATTGTTAAACTTAAATTGCACACCTAGGTATGTAAATTGATCAACACAACTAACCGTTTTGCCATTATAAAACCAAATTTCATTATTTCGAACTTTCCCGCCTTTTCGAAAAACCACAATTTTTGTCTTATCAATATTGACAGTTAATTTCCATTTCTCAGAATAACTAGCGAGATTATCCAACAGTTCCTGTAAACCCTCAACCGTCTCCGATAACAACACTAAATCGTCTGCGTATAGCATAAGAAATAAGCTTAATTCTCCAAAGGTATAATAGCTACTACAATTCGAGATAAAAAACGATTCAAAATCATTCACATACATGGAAAAAAGTATCGGAGACAGAATTTCCCCTTGCAATAATCCGATATCATTATCAAAAAAGTCTGATAAGCAGCCTTTGAATTTCACACAAGACCTAACATGATTATATATAGACTTGATGACTTGCAGCAGCTTCCCTCTTACTCCCAACTTCGATAACTTATACCACAAGTTGATCCTATCAACGTAGTCGAACGCCTTTCTAAAATCCACGAAACAACAATATAGACGTTTATTTTCACTAAAAGATTTTGTAATAACTGAATGCAGAGCGAAAACGGCATCAACAGTGCTAAGACCAGGACGAAAACCAAACTGTGCGTCAGTAATAATATCATAAGACTCCGACCATTTTACCAACCTCGTATTCAAAATTGATGTAAACAGTTTGCCTAGACAACTTACCAAACTAATACCTCTAAAATTGTTAGGGTCACTTTTATCTCCTTTCTTATGAACTGGCGTAATAACAGCTATAGACCATTCGGAGGGAAAACATCCAGAATTAAAAATGCCATTAAATAGTACACTCAAAACAGGCAATAGTACATTTTTACCAACTACGAAACATTCATTTAAAATTCCATCAAGTCCATGTGATTTACCCCGTTTCAGGTTACCTATCGCTTTAGCTATCTCATACACCGTAATAGGACAGTCTAATTCATCATAAATTGGAATAGAGTTATCATTGGAATTAAATTCACCTCTATTTTCTGTTACATCTGAATTATTAACATTCTCAGATGACAAAGTCTTAAAATGGTCGTACAAATTATCCATACTCATTTGAGGTCCAGCTGCTTTAGGCGACGAGAATCTCTTATAAAATTGTCTCGGATTATACTTTCTTAGTTGATCAAGCATATCACCTTCATATTTCATGTACATTCTTTTTTTCTTTGCTTCTGCTGCTTTGTACAATCTTTTCTTATTAATTAAATTGTTATGATTCTCTACAGACTTAGAACTATTAAACAAACTCAATGCATTTTTATAATTATTCCATACATGTTTCAAATCGGGGTCAAACCATGGTTTGTCCTCGGATATACCTGTATCATACCTAACTTGTTTATTTACCTGGTCTCGCCCCATTGCTCCCGCACGCTTGTCGTTCCTGTGTGTACTCGGTCGCGAGAGAAAGGGGTCCATTGCTCGAAGCAATACGTTTGAAAATCGCGTAACGCAATCATCCATATCATTTTGGGTAACATCTTCCGATAGTATAACCGACTCGTTAATATCGTTTTGATTCGTTGAGAGTACATCTAAAAAGCTTACCTTGCCTTCGTCATTCCATCGATAAGTAGGTCGCTCGTTACCTGTCGGTTCACACACGTGTGTATCATCATTATCGACCAATGAAAAACGCGTTCGTATTTGCACGTGCAGTGGGGCGTGGTCAGATAACACATTGAAATTGCCAACAATAAACTGTTTAACACAATACAATAAACATGGACTCGCAATCAAATAATCAATAACACTCATTCCATTATGGCCACAATATGTATAGTCATTTGAATACTTATTTAAATCTCTTCCGTTATAGATACGCAAACAACTCGCCTTACATAATTCTATAAGTCGGTTTCCAAAATGATTTACCACTGTGTCGGGGTTAACCCTATCAGTATAATAATCATCAGAGACATATGAAAACAAATCAGAAAGCTGACATTTAACACTGTCGTGAATAATATCATATTTTACATAATCACATACATTACTGGTACGACTGTTAAAATCTCCCAACAACATAATATCACCCTTTCGGGAATATTGACTTATACCATATTCCAATTCAAAAAATAAATCACAGTTATACTGGTTATAGAATTGGGAATTGGAAGGTGGAATATAGACACATGCCAGGTACACATCATTTCCTTGACCAATAAGAATTTTATCAATTTTTAGCCAAACTATAGAGTCACATATAATTTCACAAACTGAAATATATTTAGTTAAATTTGATTTAATCATAATTAACATGCCACCTCCTTGGGAATGTGTAGTACGTTTTCTAGGTATTACATAGGTAGAGTAACCTTCAATATCAACTTGGTAGTCATTTGTTATCCAACATTCTGTCAAAAATATAAGATTATATGTTTTAATAAAATTTTGAAATTGTTTAGATTTTAATTTATTGTCCAATCCACCATTAATGTTCCATGACAGTACATTTAGAGTATTTGAAATAGTCTCATTCTCATCACTGTCCTAATTTGTTACACAGTGGACAGTATATATCAGAGGCTGGGATTAACCTGGCCTAGGGTATATTTGGAAATATTATATTAACGACAACAAGATTTATTAATTAATTAAAGAAAGGTTTATTGATATTTTTATACAATGTATACTCAGAGACGTTATACGTCTCTGGTATACTTAAACAAGAATCAACTACATTTTCATAATAAAATAAAAGATGTATAACAAAAAAACTGTTTATCTGTGAACGAAATTTAATTAATAGACATGGTATAACATGTATACATTTCAAATATCCNGTATATTTGGAAATATTATATTAACGACAACAAGATTTATTAATTAATTAAAGAAAGGTTTATTGATATTTTTATACAATGTATACTCAGAGACGTTATACGTCTCTGGTATACTTAAACAAGAATCAACTACATTTTCATAATAAAATAAAAGATGTATAACAAAAAAACTGTTTATCTGTGAACGAAATTTAATTAATAGACATGGTATAACATGTATACATTTCAAATATCCGTACTGGATCCTTAACACAGGAGTCTGAAATTATATCATTTTTAATTATTATTAGGCTTATTAATTATTACGTTTCTTGTTAAAAAAAACGTAACAAGTTTACTTACTGTCAATATTAATTAGTATTTTATTCGGTAAGCAGGTGGAAATACTTATGACCATAACTTATTATTATCTGTGTGTCGCGTTGATCTGTTCGCGTACGTCAGGTTTTTGTGATGGATATATTACATCGATCTACCTTTATCCTCGTAGCCTACAGTGTACTGACGTTTCTTCCTATGCATTGTGGGTATGTTCGTTTCGTTTTAGATATTTTATACGCTTCCGCTTTTTATGTAAACCCGTTCTTGTCACCACAAACGAATCACCGTTTGTAAGCGTCATCCGTAGCACTTCCGTACCGTTTGCGTAACACTTCCGTACCGTTTCCGTACCATTTGCGTAGCATTTCCGTACCGTTTGCTTAGCACTTCCGTACCGTTTGCGTCCAAGGTGGAACAGCGAACGTGTACGGGTCTGTACATTATGAAAAATTGTATACATACATGGTTCATCCAGTTAGTGGCTCTTTACCAGAATTAAGCAATTTCAGGTTCCAAATACTTTTACACCAAAACCTGACACATCCTTAAATCACCATAGCTGTTAATGGGATGTAAGGCACTAACAAACCAAACCAATGGTCTGCTTTCATATCCAAAGGTTTTCAGGTTTTCATGTTTTATTTTGCCACAATGTGTTAGTGACTTGACAACTATATATAATAAGGCTGCACTAAGTCTGAAATTGTTTAATTACTGTAGAACTTATCTTCAGAATTTTCTTTCACTGCTGAATATTTTTAGAAACATCTTGTTTGATTCTGGAAAAATAACCTTAGCATTTGTATGTTTTAAATACTGATATTTTTTAACTAACAGGAATCAATCTTTAAAATTATATACATTTATGCACATTAAATATAATGGAGGAGTTGGCATTTCTATGCTTACAGGTGCCGATAGGTGACCAGGATAGGCTCGACAAAATACCAGCTCTGGTTGGCAAAGAGTTTGTGATCGAGAGGACTGATTACCAGACAGCGGCTGCTGACATACAGATGTCCTCTCTTGGTACAGTACATTCTCAAATCATTTCATATGTTCTCAGCTCACCTGGCTGGAAAGACCAAACAAGTTTCTACCATAGAGTGACGTCTCTTGTATGTCATAGTCTCTTTTAAACATCCTTGGTGCATATGAATTTCAGATTTTATAAATGAATAATATATGAAACCTTGCTCCAAAGGCAGTGGAGCCAAATAGACAAAATAGAGATAATTTTTTTTTTTATAAAAACTGCCTCTTCAGTATGGGTATAGGGATTGTAACATTGTTTTGTAGAAAGTAGTTATTGGGCCTGAAGGAAACTCAGTGATACCCCTTTTCCCAGATAACCTCTGTTTCCAGGTAATCCCTGTTCCCTGAGGTAACCCGATGTTACTAGATAACCTTTATTTCCAGGAAACACTTGTTTCTAGGTAAAGCCATGTTACATGTACTAGATAACCTCTGTATCCAGGTAACCTCTGTTCCAATGTACCCCCTGTTTCCAAGTAACCTCTGTTCCTAGATAACCTGTTTTCCCAGGTAACTTGTTCCCAGATAACCTCTGTTTTTTGTTTTTTGGCCCTCTGTTCCCAGGTTCCCCCTGTTCCTAGATAACCCCTTTTCCAGGTAACTGATTCCTAGATAACCTCTGTTCCCAGGTACCCCCTGTTCCTAGATAACCTCTGTTCTCAGGTACCTGGTTCCTAGATAACCTCTGTTCCCAGTTACCCTCTGTTTCCAGGTAGCCTCTGTTTCCAGGTAGCCTCCTTTCCCAGGAAACTGGTTCCTAGATAACCCCTGTATCCAGGTTGCCCATATTCCCAGGTAACCTCTGTTCCTAGATAACCTCTTTTCCCAGGTAACTGGTTCCTTGATAACCTCTGTTCCAAGGTACCCCCTGTTCCTAGATAACCTCTTTTACCATGTAACTGGTTGCTTGATAACCTCTGTTCCCAGTTACCCTCTGTTTCCAGGTAGCCTCTTTTCCCAGGTAACTGGTTCCTAGATAACCCCTGTATCCAGGTTGCCCATATTCCTAGGTAACCTCTGTTCCTAGATAACCTCTTTTCCCAGGTAACTGGGTCCTTGATAACCTCTGTTCCAAGGTACCCCCTGTTCCTAGATAACTTCTTTTCCCAGGTAACTGGTTCCTTGATAACCTCTGTTCCAAGGTACCCCCTGTTTCCCGGTAGACTCTTTTCCCAGGTAACTGGTTCCTAGATAACCTCTGTTCCCAGTTACCCTCTGTTTCCAGGTAGATTTTTTTCCCAGGTAACTGGTTCCTGGATAACCCCTGTATCCAGGTTGCCCATATTCCTAGGTAACCTCTGTTCCTAGATAACCTCTTTTACCAGGTAACTGGTTCCTTGATAACCGCTGTTCCAAGGTACCCCCCGTTCCTAGATAACCTCTTTTCCCAGGTAACTGGTTCCTTGATAACCTCTGTTCCAAGGTACCCCCTGTTCCTAGAAAACCTCTTTTCCCAGGTAACTGGTTCCTAGATAACCTCTGTTCCAAGGTACCCCCTGTTCCTAGAAAACCTCTTTTCCCAGGTAACTGGTTCCTAGATAACCCCTGTATCCAGGTTGCCCATATTCCCAGGTAACCTCTGTTCCTAGATAACCTCCTTTCCCAGGTAACTGGTTCCTTGATAACCTCTGTTCCAAGGTACCCCCTGCTCCTAGGTAGCCTCTTTTTACAGGTAACTGGTTCCTAGATAACCTCTGTTCCAAGGTACCCCCTGTTCCTAGATAACCTCTTTTACCATGTAACTGGTTGCTTGATAACCTCTGTTCCCATTTACCCTCTGTTTCCAGGTAGCCTCTTTTCCCATGTAACTGGTTCCTAGATAACCCCTGTATCCAGGTTGCCCATATTCCTAGGTAACCTCTGTTCCTAGATAACCTCTTTTCCCAGGTAACTGGTTCCTTGATAACCGCCGTTCCAAGGTACCCCCTGTTCCTAGATAACCTCTTTTCCCAGGAAACTGGTTCCTTGATAACCTCTGTTCCAAGGTACCCCCTGTTTCCAGGTAGACTCTTTTCCCAGGTAACTGGTTCCTAGATAACCTCTGTTCCGAATTACCCTCTGTTTCCAGGTAGATTTTTTCCCAGGTAACTGGTTCCTAGATAACCCCTGTATCCAGGTTGCTCATATTCCCAGGTAACCTCTGTTCCTAGATAACCTCTTTTCCCAGGTAACTGTTTCCTTGATAACCTCTGTTCCAAGGTACCCCCTGTTCCTAGAAAACCTCTTTTCCCAGGTAACTGGTTCCTAGATAACTGGTTCCTAGATAACCTCTGTTCCCAGTTACCCTCTGTTTCCAGGTAGACTCTTTTCCCAGGTAACTGGTTCCTAGATAACCCCTGTATCCAGGTTGCCCATATTCCCAGGTAACCTCTGTTCCTAGATAACCTCTTTTACCAGGTAACTGGTTCCTTGATAACCTCTGTTCCGAGGTACCCCCTGCTCCTAGATAGCCTCTTTTTACAGGTAACTGGTTCCTAGATAACCTCTGTTCCCAGGTACCCCCTGTTCCTAGGTAACCGCGGTCCCAGGTAACTGGTTCCTAGATAAACTCTGTTACCCAAGTACCCTCTGTTGCGAAGTACCCCTGTTCCTAGGTAACCTTGGTTCCCAGGTAACTGGTCCCTAGATAACCTCTGTTTCCCGGTACCCTATGTTCCGAGGTAGCCCCTGTTGCCAGGTACCCCCTGTTCCTAGGTAATTCCTGTTCCCAGGTAACCTGTTTTCTAGGGTAACCTGTCCCCATGTAATCCTTGTTTCAAGCAAAAGTTCCAGAATTTTGAGAGAGCTGTTTTGCTGGAACAGGTTGGTATGAAAAAAACAATGCGTCCCCTAAAGCACTGACTAGGCTTAGAGTAGGACAACCAGATTAGTTGTGGCTGGATTAAATAAGAAATATCATTGCAAGTGAACACAGTTCCAACCTCTGTAATGCTTGATAAGAAAAAGTTTTATTAATGTCTAGATGGTGTGTCAATACTTTCAAATCCACTTAATAAGCAGCTCATTGCCGGGGCCACAACCCTAGGGACCTAGTTTCTGGGTCACAGCTTGGAAACAGTTGAGATCCCCACCCCATAACCATACATTAAATTGCTGGGCATGAAAGATCGAATACAGATATGCTACAAGGATTGGCCTTGGGGTCTGGCATATTCCCTTGGATCTCATTTGGAGAATATTTTGCCATCATTGCTTAGATATCCAGGTGAGCAATACAGGCCCTGTAGGCCTCTTGTTATCATTGTGTAAGGATGTTTGTAACAGCCATTGTTTAATCCCGTATTTCATTTGTTTGTGTAGGTTGGGTGTCTGTGACCGTACTCTTCGGTGAGATGGGTGACCCAGTCAAAGTGAAGGTGTACACTCCAGGAGGAAAAGGACTCTACATGCGCTGCCCAGCCCTTCTTCCCTACACCCATACATTCAAGGGTAAACGAATCAAACACACACAGAGATACAGGATACGTAAACCATTGGTGTGATGTTGTGTTACAGTATAGCCAACCAGATATAACATTTAGCACACAGAGATACATGAGACGTAGACCATTGGTGTGATGTTGTGTTACAGTATAGCCAACCGGTTATAACATTTAGCACACAGAGATACATGAGACGTAGACCATTGGTGTGATGTTGTGTTACAGTATAGCCAACTGGTTATAACATGTAGCACACAGAGATCCATGAGATGTAAACCATTGGTGTGATGTTGTGTTACAGTTTAGCCAACTGGTTATAACATGTAGCACACAGAGATCCATGAGATGTAAACCATTGGTGTGATGTTGTGTTACAGTTTAGCCAACCGGTTATAACGTGTAGCACACAGAGATACATGAGACGTAAACCACTGGTGTGATGTTGTGTTACAGTATAGCCAACCGGATATAGCATGTAGCACACAGAGATCCATGAGACGTAAACCATTGGTGTGATGTTGTGTTACAGGATAGCCAACCAGATATAACATTTAGCACACAGAGGTACATGAGACGTAGACCATTGGTGTGATGTTGTGTTACAGTATAGCCAACCGGTTATAACATTTAGCACACAGAGATACATGAGACGTAGACTATTGGTGTGATGTTGTGTTACAGTATAGCCAACTGGTTAGAACATGTAGCACACAGAGATACATGAGATGTAAACCATTGGGGTGATGTTGTGTTACAGTATAGCCAACTGGTTAGAACATGTAGCACACAGAGATACATGAGATGTAAACCATTGGGGTGATGTTGTGTTACAGTTTAGCCAACCGGTTATAACGTGTAGCACACAGAGATACATGAGACGTAAACCACTGGTGTGATGTTGTGTTACAGTATAGCCAACCAGAAATAACATTTAGCACACAGAGATACATGAGACGTAGACTATTGGTGTGATGTTGTGTTACAGTATAGCCAACCAGAAATAACATTTAGCACACAGAGATACATGAGACGTAGACTATTGGTGTGATGTTGTGTTACAGTATAGCCAACCAGAAATAACATTTAGCACACAGAGATACATGAGACGTAGACTATTGGTGTGATGTTGTGTTACAGTATAGCCAACCAGAAATAACATTTAGCACACAGAGATACATGAGACGTAGACTATTGGTGTGATGTTGTGTTACAGTATAGCCAACCGGATATAGCATGTAGCACACAGAGATCCATGAGACGTAAACCATTGGTGTGATGTTGTGTCACAGTATAGCCAACCGGTTATAACATGTAGCACACAGAGATACATGAGACGTAAACCACTGGTGTGATGTTGTGTTACAGTATAGCCAACCAGAAATAACATTTAGCACACAGAGATACATGAGACGTAGACTATTGGTGTGATGTTGTGTTACAGTATAGCCAACCAGAAATAACATTTAGCACACAGAGATACATGAGACGTAGACCATTGGTGTGATGTTGTGTTACAGTATAGCCAAACGGATATAACATGTAGCACACAGATATACACGAGACGTAAACCACTGGTGTGATGTTGTGTTACAGTATAGCCAACCGGTTATAACATTTAGCACACAGAGATACATGAGACGTAGACTATTGGTGTGATGTTGTGTTACAGTATAGCCAACTGGTTAGAACATGTAGCACACAGAGATACATGAGATGTAAACCATTGGCGTGATGTTGTGTTACAGTATAGCCAACCAGATATAACATTTAGCACACAGAGATACATGAGACGTAGACTATTGGTGTGATGTTGTGTTACAGTATAGCCAACTGGTTAGAACATGTAGCACACAGAGATACATGAGATGTAAACCATTGGTGTGGTGTTGTGTTACAGTATAGCTAACCAGATATAACATGTAGCACACAGAGAAACATGAGACCTAAACCATTGGTGTGATGTTGTGTTACAGTATAGCCAACCAGAAATAACATTTAGCACACAGAGATACATGAGACGTAGACTATTGGTGTGATGTTGTGTTACAGTATAGCCAACCGGATATAGCATGTAGCACACAGAGATCCATGAGACGTAAACCATTGGTGTGATGTTGTGTTACAGTATAGCCAAACGGATATAACATGTAGCACACAGAGATACACGAGACGTAAACCACTGGTGTGATGTTGTGTTACAGTATAGCCAATGCAACCGGATATAACAGGCCTTAAAACTTGTCAGATATTGTGAATATAGATTTCAGCATTTTTGAAACAGCGTGGATGAGGTCCTAAGTCAGGGGTGTTTATATAATTTTACAGACATGTTTTGTTGCATTCCCAAAATTGTCAAAGGTTTTTTCTTCTCTTCTCTGAAACATTTATCATTTTAATTTTAATCTTTGAAGAGATTTTGACTACCAAATCAGTGTGTCATAGTTTTCTTCACCAAAAAAAGCTACTTAAAGTTTTTGCTTTGATAGGATTTTTTTTGAGTAATTGACTTTTCTGAAAAATGTAGCTTGGAGAAATATTGGACAGATTTGCGTGAATGTTGTTGGATGATGACATGATTACCCAGTACTCTGGCAGTGGTATTCTGTGAAGCCAAGACAATAAATGTGTATAACTGATACATTACAAAAGGCTCATCCATAATGATACAGCTATATAAATTGAATTTCACTATTAGCACTCAGTTTTCATGGACGTAGGAAGATTTATAGTTTCAGTTGTAATTAACTCTATAACATCTGTTGAGCTAAATTTATTACTGTACATTAAATATATATATCTAGTTGATCTGTGTGAGTAGATATGTTAAGTTTTTACACTGGTCCTTCCACATCATGAAGTAAGAGTTGTTCATAGAACCTCTGTTGAAGATGTAACTATCCTTAATGATATAAAGAATTGTGATTGAGATTGGTTGTTTGTTGTTTTTGTTGATATTGTATCTGAGTTATTTATACCATATATATAGCTGTTGTTCTGTATGTATTTCATACCAAATTTTGTATTTGAGTACCTCCTGGACTGGTGGAGTGAATCATACTAAAATTTAGTCTCATGCCCCTCTATAAACAGAGTTGTTGCCCATTGTTCATACATGTACCAAAATTGTCCGGAGGAGGGGAATAATGGATTGCTCACATTATTTTTGCCTAGTTTTCTTTTATTACCCCGTCACAAAGTTGTATGGAGCATTAAGTGTTACCTATGTGTGTACATCTCGATGAATACAGCATTTTTCATTGCATTTTGGTGACCATCACCTTTGTGACCCTGGTTATGTATTTAGGTCAGTCTGGGACTAAGTACTGGGACTAATTAGGATCACACCAATTAACATGCTATGCTTCTCTACGAGCATAGTATGTTGCATAACTTTTTCTAACTTTGACCTTTGACCTAGACTTTTGTGACTTTGCTTTAGCTCATGAATACATGTATTAGTGTGGGAAGGGGCATCTGTGTCTGACAAACACATTTCTAGCTATTGAGTATGGTCAACAGTGAACATGGATTCAAATTAGTATAGTTGTGTATGGGTTTCGTAAGGAATTTTAACATGCTTGTGATTTTGGAGAGTACAATACACTTTATATGTATTTATGATTTAAGAGCGAAGGACAGTGAGAAAGTATGTCATGTAAGTGTGATTGTGTGATGGTATATACACATGGTAAATATTTGTGAGAGTGTATCTGTATACATGTTTGAAAGCCTAATCCTGAATTACGACACCAGTAATGGACTTATCCCAGGACACCCTAACCCCAGCAATCTAATTAATATTCTGGGAAAATAAAAACAGTAATATAAAAATATTGTACTGGGGTATGCTTTAATGCAGGACCCTGATTTCTAGAGTGTGATTTCATTGTTGTTGTTTAATACAGCCTTAATACAATGACTTTTAATGCCAGATTGTACTGAAATAAATATAATGTCAATTTGTAGCTTCAAAAAAATGTTAATTTGGAAAGGCCAAGAATTAAAGGCCACTTGAAAAAGGTTAAAGTATCTGTTTCAAAATACAACATGTATCAGAATTTGGAACAACTGTGATTCGCTGAAATGCATCACAAGATGTGCTGTTTTGGGGATACATCTGTAGGAAAAACCTTAAACATTTCATAAAAGTGCCAATGGTATTCAGATTTTTTAATACCTTTAATCAGGGACATAAATTACAATATATGTCTGCGCTATCATATTTTAACTTGGTGGTAGATTGAATACTTTTTACTTAATAAAACCATACTAGTTCTAATAAGAGCGTAGCGACGCTCTTTAATGGTAACACATGCGTTCGTTTACAGAGTTGCTTCCCCTTGCTTCCTCAATTTTTTCGTCTGGAAGTAGACGTCCAGTGGGGATACCGGAAGTGTACCCTTGAAGCAAAGATAATTGTTTCAACCCATACATGAAATCTTCATATAGTGAAAGCAATCCTCATGTTTTATTACTTGTTTATGTAGGTAAAACCTAACATACATTCTGAGTGAAAAAAATCTATCACATAAATTATGATACTAGCAGGCATGAAACTTCGTCCAGAAATTATCTTACTGTGATGTCACAAGCACGTCACACTCCATCAGCCTTCATCGATTATTTCCGGAAGGATGAAAAATAACCGGAAAATCTTGGAACTGATGTCCGTTACATTTATCTCTTTGTCGGTGCTTCTTGACTTTTTTATTTCAGTTTTTGCCACAGACACAAAAATTTAAAAAAGCGGATTTTTTCTGAAAATCCTTTTTGTCATCAACCATGCAGGTTCTGTTAATATTTATAACTGAAGATATCTTCAAAAAGAGCTGCATTAAACCAATAGGTAAACATGTACATTTATTTTTCATCGTCTAAAATTTCATCAGCTTTTGATTTCCATTTTTTGAGAATAAGAACGAAATAATTAACATTTTTGAAAGTCTGGTTATAGTCTTTACATAATTTATTTATTTTTCACCACTCATGAAAGAAACAATGGATATTCCGTTTAGTCGAAATCAACAATAATTGTCCAGACAACCAACCCGAGTTCAAAGGCCCTTTTTCAGCAACATATTACTTTTTGCACAACGTGTGCCGATTTATAACTAGTTACAGACAGAAACTGTTTATTTTATTTTTTATTTGGCATCATTACCTGTCAAACCTCGGTGACATTTACAAAATTGTAATTCAATCCGGTGTTTCATGATAGAAATGGAATCGAGACAACATATCTATAAAACGACATTCACAGTTACATCAAAGTATAACAATGTTGTTGGGTTTTTTTGTTTTTTTTTTAACTAACATCTCTATACATAAGTTATACTTTTTTCTATAGCAATTATCTAGTTTTTTAAAACATATCTCAATCATTCTTTTTGTGCCCTGATGGAAGCATGCAGAGGATTTAAATTCTTTGATGTGGTAGGAAGATGGAATATCCGGAGAAAACATGCGTGGTCGGAATTGCTACTTTTTTACGGTAAAACGTGTAACACAATGACAGCTTCAAATGATATACATAAAAACCAAGCCAAGCACAGACACTACCATATTGCTGTACGATAAGAATTTATTGAAATATCAATTTAGGCCCATACACTCAGGTTCGGCCAATGATTATAACTGTGGCAAGTTTGGCCCATGTAACACATAAAAAGTCGTAAAATTGGCAGTAAAATCTTACTTTTCATGCTTTATGATATCATAATTAAGCAAATGCCAATGGGGGCCGAAGTTACCCGAATGCCTTTTGGCATGCCATTTTCTCCTTGCAATCCTATTTGTCTTCATGGCTGTTCTATAAGGGACCAAATTTAGATATAAAGAAATTCTGTGAGATCAGATCTGAGAAAAAAAAAATACATGAAAAATAGGCAAAAAGCTAGTCTAAGATATTTTTACTTTTTATTCCAAGTCAGTCGATTGTTACTTATTAAAGAATTAATTGGATATTTCAAAATTATATTTAATCAAAATACTACAGGTTCAGTTGATGACCAATTACCGCGTATTTTTTGGTGCATGCTGGGATTGGCAAATACCGGAAGTTATTCGTTACCTACGAAAACAAACTCACCAAAACCTACGATAGGTCAAGCATGTGGCAACACCTGAAGGATCAGAAGAATTCGATGCATTTATAGTTTGAAATTCGTATATTTCATAACTCTTTCGTCATTTTATAATGAGAAAAGTTCATGATTAATCGGCGAAATGTAATTACAGCTGCCTGCTGTTTAAATGTTTGAGTAATAAAATTCGGTCGATTTCAGTACAGTACTACGCCAGTGCATACCACTACCTTACCCGACTTTTGTTCATAGAACGATGGAATTGAACGACGACGAACTCACGGATTTATATAAATGGGTAGATGCAATACCTTTATCAAAGCCAAAGAAGAATATGACAAGAGACTTCGCCGACGGAGGTAGGTTGTATAACCACAGCACAGGCACTAACAGGAGTAATATCGTTACTGTATCGTCTAGTCATCAGTTTCCGCGCGTTATGTATTTCCGCGCAGCCATATTATCAAGCTATATCTCGTAACTACGTGACCTGCTGGACACAACACAAGGATATTTTAGACGGTTGGCCATCGTCTGTAAACTGACACAAAAATTACCAGAAGTTCGTCCGAAAACATCAGAAATAATCGCTGATTAAAAAACATGCACTTTTTATCTTGCTCCAAAAGAGCCAAGGAGACATTCTTATATCGATAAACAGTGTTTTCAATAGTTCATATAGCGATTACGCCGATTGAAAGCTGTGAGCTTCTTATGGCCCGTTTCAATATATGTTAAAATACTTGTTAAAAACACTTACGGTGCATATAGATAATCATATAGATAGACCTACAAATGTACTACAGTTGTGGGACCGCACAACGCACCAAAAATGGCGTGCGCACACCGTGCATACATCGTTCACACACCGTCCGCACATCGTCCACACATGGTGCGCACAACTGTGCGATTTGGTATCGTTTGTAGATCAAAATTACGGAATGACAAAAATACGGAAGGCTTGTATGCGATAATGTACACTGTGTATATATCTGTAATTTCTCATCCCAATAATCAAGATTATACAATTTCACAATGCGTATTACACAGTATTACAGTCACCGTTAGGCTGTCAAGACAGGGTTTGGCTCCAAGGTAACAGAACAGGTAAATAACAATTTTATGAGTGTCCGGAGGTTTACCTGCCGAGTGCCTGACACCCAGAGCTGATATGCGATACCGTTTGACCGTAATAAAAAGGATTTGTTATTTGCATTCGTTTACCTATATATAGCTACCCTTCACCTGGATTTTCACACCCCCGGCCTTACCCGACGAGTTACGTAAATGCCCCAGGCGGGGAGAAAACTACGGTCCAGGTACATGTACACAATGGTTATGTTTACCTGTATACGGGGTTGTGTTGTAATTTTACATGTGTCGATTAAGTTTGTTTAAAAACACAGAAAACACAATTCCTAAATATAAGAATTTATAGACAGAAAGATAAGTTTATAGATGTTGATAGAATATAGAAATATACGTAAACATAAAGTTTATATGTTTAACAAGAAACCGTATAAATTGTTAAGGCATTCCTCAATTTACACCAACCACGATTGTTATCGCACCACGTCCGTCCATCGTGCGAACATATGTGCGCAAGCAATGGTCGTTCAGCTTTTTATCGTTGGCCCATCGTGCACACACCGTTCGCACACCGTGCACACATCGGGCGCACACCGCACATCGAGTAACGTTGTGCGATCCCACAACTGTAATGTCAGGAATAACAACTTGCGCGGAATTTCGTTCGCTGATCCGACCAGAATTTATTCAGTCTGTTCTTGAATGTGTCCACAGTTGGAGAATTGACCACATAATTGGGTAAACTGTTCCACACCTCTACAACTCTATTGCTAAAGAAGTTACTGTATATATGGCCTTATTTGTTCTCCTCTCGAACAGCTTTCTGCTATTTCCTCGTGTTCTGACGGCGCGCGCTTTTATAAACATTTTGTCCTGATCTACAATGTTAATTTCTTCCATAATTCGATCACATCCGCTCTGATACGTCTGTATTCTAGCGTTGGAAGCCCAAATTTAAGCAGTCTTTCGGGGTAGCTCAGGTCTTTGAGACATGGCACTAATATGGTTGCACGGCGTTTAACGTTTTCAAGTAGAATTTTGTCTTTCTTCAAGTGCGGTGACCATGTGACCGTTGAATATTCCAAATGTGGTCTTACCAAGGATTTGTAGTGTTATACACATGCTTTGGTCGATGAACGTAAATGTTCTAAACATTAGTCCCAAGTTCCCGTTGGCCTTTGATACTGCTTGTGATATATGTTCGTTGAACTTCAGTTTGTTATCAATAATTACTCCGAGGTCTTTTTCATTTGTGACAGTCTTAATATTTGAAGTCGACGGGTCTTGTTCGATTTTATAGTGTTGTTCTTGTTCATCTTGAAATTTTCCAATCCTAAGGTGTTTACATTTGTCAATGTTCAGTTTCATGAGCCAAGTGTTAGTCCAAATGCATACAGAGTCCAGATCCTTCTGTAGGCTATCACGATCCGAGTCACTTCCAACTTTCCTGTATATTTTGGAGTCGTCTTTAAATAGTTTGGTTGAGCTACTGATGTTGTTTGGAAAGTCATTGATGAAGATCAGAAACAAAATAGGTCCAATTACACTCCCCTGTGGGACCCCGCTGGTGACCTGTGTTTGTGATGATATAGAGCCATTGATGACGACTTGTTGTTTTAAGTTATGGAGAAATCCTTGTATCCAATTTAGTACTGCACCTCCAACACCATATGATTTGAGTTTGTGTAAGAGTCTCCTATGGGAAACCTTGTCGAAGGCCTTGCAGTAGTCTAAGTAGATGATGCCAGTAGAATCTCCATTGTCTAAGGCCTGTGTCCAGTCCTCCAAACATTCTAGTAATTGAGTGGTACAAGATCTTCCTTTTCTAAATCCATGTTGGCAATTAGTAAAAAAGTTGTTTCAGTGCATATGTTCAAGGAGTGCATCCCTTATTATCCGTTGCATGATCTTGCTTGCTATGGGTGTTAAGCTAATTGAACGGTTGTTGTTAGCTTTCTTTTTTGATCCATTTTTGAAGATTGGAGTAATGTTGGCTAATTTCCATGGTGATGGGATAGTACCTTCGTCAAGAGATTTCCTGAATATTTTAGTAAGGAGCGTTTTATCGCGTGATGCTGTCTCGTAGTAAAGTTTTGGATGGAGTCCGTCGGATCCAGGGCTTTTGTTTGGGTTGAATTTTTTTAATGTCTTTTTCAACAAGATTGTCTGTGATATCTATTTCGAGGAGATGCTCGTTTGGCTGCTTATTAATCCTAAGCGGAATGTCACCTGTCAGGTCGTTAACAAACACTGTAGAGAAGCAGTTGTTTAAAGTTTCTGCTGTTTCTTGGTCAGATGTCGTCAAACTACCATCAGATTTTTCGTGTGTTGCTTCCTGATTTATTCTTTGATTTTGATCGCACATTTCCAAAACCGTTTCAGATTACCTTTAATGTCGTCAGCTAGATTATGTTCATAAATTGATTTGGATTTTCTCAAACAAGCTGTGGCGTTATTCCTTGCTCCCCAAAATTTACGTAGTTCTCTGGTGTTTTACAGTGTAAATATTTAGACCAGGTTTGGTGTTTTTTCCATACAGCTTGTAGTGTTACGTGTCAATGAAATGTAAACCTTGTAATGCAATGAACTTCCAATTTTCACCAAAATAGACACACGGAAACATATGACGGCTACTTCCGACGCGAGAAATTTGTTAAAAAATGTTTGTTCTGATTTTTTTTTTATATAGTTTTATGTTGCTATTCTTTTGTTTCCATTAGTAGATTGTATACATGTTTATGACAGTCATCCATAATTTCAACAGTTTTCTGCCGATATGAGTACGAAATCGTGGATGCTTCTAAGTGCGCGGAAACCGGTTACTGGAGGATACTGTTAGGCTTCTTATGTTTATAATACAGTAGTAGTGTACTTAGTCTTTGTAAGTATAACGTTGTTTCGACTTGTTGGGTTTTTTGGCTGAAACATCATGAAACATATCTAAATCGCAATAAATGTATCTCCCTTGATAAAACAGAGGTCATTATTTTATTTTACCTAATTGTAAAAGATGTGCATTGATTAGGTTGCCTTACAAGCGTCAGCTGTAGGGAATTTCCCTTTAACTCAGCGGTAGAGCATAAGGCTGGGGAGCCAAGGGTTGCGGGTTCGTGCCCCAACGACGGCACTATCTTTATCACTATTCCTTGTCCTTTTTTTTAAGTTTTACCTGATCCTGTGTCTGTTTTAAGCGGTAACAGGTTGTTTTGGCCTATATCCCGTTCGCGCTAAGAGTTGTTTCGCCCTAAATCCCGTTCGACCTAGGTTGTTTCTCCCTAAAAAAAAAAAAATCATACACTAATATAATAATTAATATTTAATTATAACAACTCAACTTATTGATGACTTTCTACATTGGTGTTTGGTATATTTCAAGTAGAGTAAGTATGTGAGAGCGGAGTCAGCTTTTCACAGCTGCCGTTTGTCACACTCGCTCAAAAACAAGACAAACACATTTTGTTTATGAAATTGATAAAAAAATATATAGAAGACCAAGAATACTTATTTGTGACTAAAAACTACCGAAACTGAAAGAAAATACCAAACAATGTTTCGCCTTAATATTTTTGTTTTAGGGCAAAACGACCTAGCGCGAATCAACCTAGGGCGAACAGGATTTCGGGCGAAACAACCCAGAACCGTTTTAAGCATTTGCTGCTCCTTGACCACCTAGCTGTTTCATATTTACACTTTGTTAGTACCTCCCCTAGGGACCTCATTGTTTTTCTTTGCTACACTGATGATCACCTGAATAAGGGAATAAACAGTAGAATATCAGTTTTTCCATATTAAATCAGTCAACGTCTATCACTGATGTCATGGTATTCGGAGCAAGCTCTTCATATTTAGATGTATTATGTAATCACCGTAGGTAGACAGATTAGGGATGTTACTATCAGGACATGGAACGTTCATGATTGGAAGTCAAAATCTTCCCGCTTATCATACAGCTTAGTAATAAGACGTCCCTTTTGGTGTCATTGTAAGTAAACGAGTGACGTAGGAGTTGTAGTGTCCTTGATTCCATGCTCTGGTGGAGTAGGAGTCTGTAATGTCCTTGATTCCAAGCTCTGGTGGAGAAGGAGTCTGTAATGTCCTTGATTCCATGCTCTGGTGGAGTAGGAGTCTGTAGTGTCCTTGATTCTATGCTCTGGTGGAGTAGGAGTTGTAGTGTTCTTGATTCCAAGCTCTGGTGGAGTAGGAGTCTGTCATGTCCTTGATTCCATGCTCTGGTGGAGTAGGAGTTGTAGTGTCCTTGATTCCATGCTCTGGTGGAGTAGGAGTCTGTCATGTCCTTGATTCCATGCTCTGGTGGAGTATGAGTTGTAGTGTCTTTGATTCCATGCTCTGGTGGAGTAGGAGTCTGTAATGTCCTTGATTCCATGCTCTGGTGGAGTAGGAGTTGTAGTGTCCTTGATTCTATGCTCTGGTGGAGTAGGAGTCTGTAGTGTCCTTGATTCTATGCTCTGTTGGAGTAGGAGTCTGCAATGTCCTTGATTCCATGCTCTGGTAAAGTAGGAGTCTGTAGTGTCCTTGATTCTATGCTCTGGTGGAGTAGGAGTCTGTAGTGTCCTTGATTCCATGCTCTGGTGGAGTAGGAGACTGTAGTGTCCTTGATTCCAAGCTCTGGTGGAGTAGGAGTCTGTAGTGTCCTTGATTCCAAGCTCTGGTGGAGTAGGAGTCTGTCATGTCCTTGATTCCATGCTCTGGTGGAGTAGGAGTTGTAGTGTCCTTGATTCCATGCTCTGGTGGAGTAGGAGTCTGTCATGTCCTTGATTCCATGCTCTGGTGGAGTATGAGTTGTAGTGTCTTTGATTCCATGCTCTGGTGGAGTAGGAGTCTGTAATGTCCTTGATTCTATGCTCTGGTGGAGTAGGAGTCTGTAGTGTCCTTGATTCTATGCTCTGTTGGAGTAGGAGTCTGCAATGTCCTTGATTCCATGCTCTGGTAAAGTAGGAGTCTGTAGTGTCCTTGATTCTATGCTCTGGTGGAGTAGGAGTCTGTAGTGTCCTTGATTCCATGCTCTGGTGGAGTAGGAGTCTGTAGTGTCCTTGATTCCATGCTCTGGTGGAGTAGGAGTCTGTAGTGTCCTTGATTCCATGCTCTGGTGGAGTAGGAGTCTGTAGTGTCCTTGATTCCATGCTCTGGTGGAGTAGGAGTCTGTAGTGTCCTTGATTCCATGCTCTGGTGGAGTAGGAGTCTGTAGTGTCCTTGATTCCATGCTCTGGTGGAGTAGGAGTCTGTAGTGTCCTTGATTCCATGCTCTGGTGGAGTAGGAGTCTGTAGTGTCCTTGATTCCATGCTCTGGTGGAGTAGGAGTCTGTAGTGTCCTTGATTCCATGCTCTGGTGGAGTAGGAGTCTGTAGTGTCCTTGATTCCATGCTCTGGTGGAGTAGGAGTCTGTAGTGTCCTTGATTCCATGCTCTGGTGGAGTAGGAGTCTGTAGTGTCCTTGATTCCATGCTCTGGTGGAGTAGGAGTCTGTAGTGTCCTTGATTCCATGCTCTGGTGGAGTAGGAGTCTGTAGTGTCCTTGATTCCATGCTCTGGTGGAGTAGGAGTCTGTAGTGTCCTTGATTCCATGCTCTGGTGGAGTAGGAGTCTGTAGTGTCCTTGATTCCATGCTCTGGTGGAGTAGGAGTCTGTAGTGTCCTTGATTCCATGCTCTGGTGGAGTAGGAGTCTGTAGTGTCCTTGATTCCATGCTCTGGTGGAGTAGGAGTCTGTAGTGTCCTTGATTCCATGCTCTGGTGGAGTAGGAGTCTGTAGTGTCCTTGATTCCATGCTCTGGTGGAGTAGGAGTCTGTAGTGTCCTTGATTCCATGCTCTGGTGGAGTAGGAGTCTGTAGTGTCCTTGATTCCATGCTCTGGTGGAGTAGGAGTCTGTAGTGTCCTTGATTCCATGCTCTGGTGGAGTAGGAGTCTGTAGTGTCCTTGATTCCATGCTCTGGTGGAGTAGGAGTCTGTAGTGTCCTTGATTCCATGCTCTGGTGGAGTAGGAGTCTGTAGTGTCCTTGATTCCATGCTCTGGTGGAGTAGGAGTCTGTAGTGTCCTTGATTCCATGCTCTGGTGGAGTAGGAGTCTGTAGTGTCCTTGATTCCATGCTCTGGTGGAGTAGGAGTCTGTAGTGTCCTTGATTCCATGCTCTGGTGGAGTAGGAGTCTGTAGTGTCCTTGATTCCATGCTCTGGTGGAGTAGGAGTCTGTAGTGTCCTTGATTCCATGCTCTGGTGGAGTAGGAGTCTGTAGTGTCCTTGATTCCATGCTCTGGTGGAGTAGGAGTCTGTAGTGTCCTTGATTCCATGCTCTGGTGGAGTAGGAGTCTGTAGTGTCCTTGATTCCATGCTCTGGTGGAGTAGGAGTCTGTAGTGTCCTTGATTCCATGCTCTGGTGGAGTAGGAGTCTGTAGTGTCCTTGATTCCATGCTCTGGTGGAGTAGGAGTCTGTAGTGTCCTTGATTCCATGCTCTGGTGGAGTAGGAGTCTGTAGTGTCCTTGATTCCATGCTCTGGTGGGTATATGTGATCAATGTGGTCAAAACATTTCTTGTTATTTATCTGAATTTGAAATAGAAGGACTGGACTATGTTTTTGTTACCAATCCTGATAACTGAGCTCATCAATAAATTCGGCCTCTTAAAATGAAAACATGACTACATATGTTTTTCACAGCGTTAATAAGTATATATATATATAAATTGTGATCATAGAGAAATAAGAATTTGGCCAAACGACCACTAAAATCAGTTTAATGTGTGACCAAATTTAATAGTTGCAGAGTTTTGTGTAACTGGGGCTAACGTAAACAGTGCAGAGTTAAAACTAGAGTTCATATTCACACCTGAACTTAAGGGGTTAAATAATAGACTAAATGGCTTTAGAATACAATCTTAAGGCTTTGTTATGTTATGACAAGGGGATGGAGTACTTTTAGAAGTCAAGGCCACTGTACAGTATAGGTATGACAAACTTAATTACATAACTGCAATATGAAATAAAAAATGTATATAAATGAAAACATAACATAATAATAGATTTGTGATAATGAACAACATGACATTAAATGAATCTACTGTATATTTCCCAGAGATTACCTGACTCCTCTTTGTTTAGTTTCATTAAGGTAAAAAGTGATCATCAATTTGAGATATCAACCAATTCTCTCTGTTAAATTAATTTCTACTGAAGTATTTCATGTAAGTCACATCTTGAGATGCATTCTACAGAATCATGTATTTTACATGTTCATAATATTTGAAGAAAAAATGATAAACATTATCTTTCTCTTCCATCTGGGCAGGATAAGAAATCTCCCCCTGAAAGGATTCTTGGCTGTCTAATCAGATCGAGGCTGTCTCGGCCTAGAGATAGACGGTCAAGAATCTCCTCCGAGGGTGACCATTACTCGTATTGTATCTGTTTTTTACAGAGTGTTGTTACATGTATAAGCTCAAAACTACTGACTAATTACTCTCTGTTTTTTTCTCTCAATTTTAGTGTGTGTTGCAGAGATCCTGAAGTATTATTTCCCAAAAATAGTGGAGTTGCACACCATCTCTCAGTGCAGTAAAACTCATTTGAAAATACAAAATTGGTTAATGCTTAACAGGTATCAAATGTTTAACTTGTGTATGGTCCTTACACTTGTGTTCACCGGAGGGTGTATGGTGTCCACTGATCCGTCTGCTGTGGTTTGGCTTTAAGAATGACAGCATTAATAAATGTTTCATGCTCTAAACAGTAAATAACATCAAAGACTAGAGTCCTCTAGTTGAAATTTGATCATAATCAAATCAAAGTTTTAATTATTTGGTTTTAACAATAAATTTCAGAATACCTGGTAGGTTAAGTTTTAACTAAAAACAAAAATGTAGTTTGAAATTATACAACTTTGATTTCGTTTTTGAATTTTGAATATTTTTAATTATTTCATAAACAAAAAGATTCAAAAAGATTCTATTCACTTATTAAACTGTACACTGAAAGGTAAAACTAAATCAGAGAGAAATAAGACATTGTTGGAAGAAAAATTGAAAGCTCACTCAGAAGGGAAACAAATTTAAAACTGAAGATATTTTGTGCTTCTTTTTACCATAGTACATGAAACATTTGAAATCTTTCACCTTTTGCATGAAGTATGTAGATATATGTTTATATCTACGTTTTATTTTATAAAATTTTCATTAAATTTGTCCCTTTTAATGTAATCTGTCGTACATGTAAACATGCATGCTCACACATTAGTGTGTCATTTTGTGTGAAACAAGGTGTTATCTCCTCCAAAAGCCAGTGTGTATATATAAATATTAATTTTATAAACATAAATATACTTGGGATTTTCATATTGTTTTACATGAACTTAAAACTATTTTTTGCTCATTCTGATATGGGATTTGCCTCGAGGCTGGCTCATATATTGCTGTAAGTTACAAAATAGAGATCGGTGTATAATAAATATATATGCGAAAAGTTTCCAGTTCAAATAAGTATTCAATTTTAGATTTAAATTTCAAACAAATAGCTAGCAGCTTTGAAGTTATCGTACCATTTAGGCAGGTTGGTTGGTTAAAGTCTTGAATGACTTGACCTTGCAATGTCAATCAAACTCAATTACTGTCACTTTAATTATAGAGCATGAAAATACATTTATGAATAAAAACCGATAGAATTTATATACCAAAGAGTTCTTCTTATCAACCAGTGTATTCAATGTTTAAACAGAGTAAATAGAGACACTTTTATGCTCCGTATTAACTTACCAGTTCTCAATGGTGTCCAAGTAATACTATCAATGTTATCTTGTCACCCGAGCATTCTTCAGATACCATAAGGTTAAATAATCCACAATTAAAATCTTGAACAAATGTCACATTTAGGTGCTGACTGTAGTTTGGATACCAGATAAACAACTTAAGGACCAAACATTGTCATCAAATACTAATACAAGTTTACTGTATATGGTTATAATTAGAATCCCATGGTCTTCTCTGTCCGAGTAAAAATTACTCAAAAAATTACTCAAACATTGAGTAATTGATGTCACTTTTAAAAATGCTAATGAGCCTATTTTAAGTAGGATTTTATTACTGTAATAAAACAATAAATAATTGTATTTGAATATTCATTGGATTTTTTTTAAAGTCAGAACATTTTCACAATTCAATGTATTTCTGAAATGAGGAATTTAAGTAACAAGATGTAGACAAATGCTATGCCGTCACCAATTGATTAAATGATATGTTCAGCTCATTCCATTTCAACTAGAAATACTACACAGTTCAAGCATAGGCTAGAGGGATATAGCAAGTTTCTAGTTCCCCAAGACCAGGGATGTTTCCCTTGGCAAATCTTTATACAAGCTTTATACAAGTTATAACACCTATCTCCTTTCATGCATGGGAGGGTTATCCGTAGTCATATTTAATTTGGAATTTCATTAATAATCCAACTTACTAATCATAATTAAACTCAATGAGTGTAAGTGTATTATATATCATTTTAAATTTACACATGTTTGAGTAGTGTGATCAACTATTCTGCAAATTTGAAAATAATTACCAGTAGTATTGCAAATTTTAGAACTCTTTATGAAATTGGCTCTGGATCATTTTGGTCCAAATATCCTAAAATATTGAAAAAGAATTGCAGAATATTTGTTAAGCTATAGTATTTTGTTGGTCTAATTTGTGCCCTAATGCTGTGATGTTTTTCAGTCCAAGTCGCAGAGCTAGTGAAAAACTTCTTCCCGAAATTGGTAGACCTCTACAACTATCCAACTTGTAGTAACGCAAAACAAAAAGCGAAAAATTGGGAATACCTCAACAGGTAATTGATAACTTGTATAAGAACCTTCTAAAGTGGTAAACATCAAATTTGACATGTTAATAACAGGTAAACATTAAAACTGGCACCTTGTTAAGATCGTAAACATAAGAATTGACATATTTTTTCAGAATTTTCCTCCATGAACAAGAACTTTTTTCACAGCATGTACAATGCAACCTTAATTCAATTCAATATTTGAAAATACATATTATGTAAATAAAGCATTGTCAAAAATGAAGTGAAATATATACATGAAATACAATTACTGTTGTGGCAGTGTTTTATTACCTGAAATGTTTGCTTCTAATATTTTAGCGTTTTTAGGCATCACTGATCTTTTACAGTTTTCCAAAACTTCTCTGCATTGGCCTTTTGCTAAAATTAATTGAAAAAGAATTTTTAGCAGTTACAAAATCTTGCATTCTCTTTGATTTTTTATGAGAAATAAATACTGTTTATTAGAAAAGAGTGTCACAGGAGGTCTCCTACCATACACAACCTAACTGTACACTGGAATACTTTCATTTTGATCTGTTGAAATAAGGTAATGTTTTTGAAATATTTAAAAGTTAAGTTTTATGTAACTCTGATAATATGACTTCCTTGGAAGAAAACACCTAGTGCATGGTCCACTTTTTATCATTATGCTTTAACTTGGTTGTATGGTTGTTTTACTGTGTATCTGTATATTTGTACACTCACAGCTTGGTGGTGTGTTTTTGTATGCATGATAGTAACATCTGACTTTTTTAATCTCCAGACATGATTTGTTGTAAATCATAAATTAAAATAATGGTCAGTTTTTGTATTGTACAATGTATGCTTCCATGTTTAAATGTTTGGTATGATATTTATTAACTATGATAAATCATAATAGATTGATTAGTCCAGACTTTTTCCTTTCTTTCTGGAGAGTAGAAGTCTTGTCACTGTCTGAAATGTAATGAGGCTGCTGCAATGTGATTAGTTGATAAAGTTTCCTTATGATATCTTTATATACTAGAGTCCCTTATTGCTCGAGTTCATTGCCTGGCCAAGTTTGTAAGTTCTAATGAGGCTGCTGCAATGTGATTGGTTGATAAAGTTTCCTTATGATATCTTTATACACTAGAGTCCCTTATTGCTCGAGTGCATTGCCTGGCCAAGTTTGTAAGCTCTAATGAGGCTGCTGCAATGTGATTGGTTGATAAAGTTTCCTTATGATATCTTTATACACTAGAGTCCCTTATTGCTCGAGTTCATTGCCTGGCCAAGTTTGTAAGCTCTAATGAGGCTGCTGCAATCTGCAGTCTAATTAATAATACAACAGCAGCTATACTGTTGTTAATTCCACTCATCATAAATACAATTATATCAGCCAGGTGACAACAGGTGACATCTATTAATGTGGAATAACCAAATTTTAGTTTACAAATATATATAGGGGTTAATCAGCATTTTTATTGCCTTTATGCAGGTTGAGATAGCAAAATTTTACATAGCAACTATTATATGATAATAATAAATATTTTTTAACTGACAATTTTTCTATTATTTTTGAAATAATTATCTTTTTGAGATCCTGAAATAATTTCAAATCTTTTATCTTAAAATCTGAAATCTTAAGCAATGTCTGCTTAAAAATTCTGTTTATTTAGGGAACGTTTTTAATTTTGAAAATATTTTATGATTGCAGAACAGTTTTTTCAAAATTAAGATTTGAACTTGCGTCTGACGTGATAGAGGATTTGTCTACCTGTAAACCTGGTGTCATAGAAAAAGTTTTACATAAACTACGATCCAAGATAGATAGTGCACTATGGCACATGAAGAACAACCCACGCCGGGAGAGTGATAAACCAGAGGCAGATCAAGTGTACAGTAAGTTGTCTCCCTTGTCTAAGTATTTTCTATATATGTATATGTTGCATGCTAAGTTTGTTTTGAACACAAATAGTGATTGAAACATTTTTTTTGCGAGCTTTCAAAAATGTTTGTTTCCTTTGTCAAGCAAAGAGTGCAAAAGGAAATGGATGTTTTTAAAAAGCTTGAAAAAATAAGCTTTTATTTACTGTTTGTGTTCAAAACAAACCTTGTATATATTATTCACATCAAACTGATGAACCTCATATCGAATATGTATATTATATATATGGCTAAATTTGAGGGAAAATAAACTTATGGACTTCTATTAGAAATACATTATAGTTTATTCATGGATTCATCATTAGGGCCCTGCATTGGGAGAATGGAAGTTTCCTATAGTAATTAAATTGTACTTTGATGTAATTGATTTGATAACAGAAAGGCATAATTTGATTGGTTTAGATCAGTCTGAGAAGGGCTATTGTCAGACATGACAGAATTCTTTGATCGTAACAATCTCTGAATAGTTTCAGGAACTTAAAGATCAATAATATGTTTGTTCTTATAAATCTCATTATCACAGATATGATTACTTACCCATATTCTCATCACTCACGTAAGTGTTATCAATTCCTGTATAGTTATAATCAGTCTTAAATAGGCTTAAAACTGGTCACATTCTGTCACATCACAAGTGTGAGGTTTCAATTTTGAACAGATTTATTGTGAAGTCACTTCTTGTCACCTGTGTAAGACTGCCAACAACTTATTATGAGGTCAATTCCCGTCACATATATGCAGGACTAGATATTAATTTTAAAACCACTACATGTAGTTGGGCTAGTTATAGTCACAAGTGTAAATTCCTTTAACCTTAATTATAGGACTAGGAAAAATAAAAAATAAACTAGCCCGAAGACGTTACTCTATTATTCAACAAAAGTTGTGCATATTGTTATCTAGGAAAGATACTGAAGTTAATACAATTTTAATCATTTTTTGGGAATTATTCACCTTTTAGTAAATTTCGTATTTGTGGACTAATCAGCTGCAATGTCTAACTTTTATGTACAACAGATGTACAGTTGTCACTACAAACACTGTTCTTCCAGAGTGACCAGCTTCCATTGATAATCAAAATAAATTTTATTATAATCACACAACTTGGACAAATGTAGCATTTTTCTTGTTACAGAGTTATTATGTAAACAAACTTGTATCAATCATACTGTAAGTTTAAAAAAAAAATACGGGTGACATATTTTGAGGTCACTTCCTCTCCTGAAACTTGAAGCAGATTAAATACTCTTGAGGTAATTTTCTGTCTTATAAAAAGTGTTAAGCAGTCAATTTAAAATAAAAAAATGTCAACAACTTTCTGTCAGAATGTGAATTTATGGTTTCAAATTTAAATTTAAGTAGATTTACTGTTTATTTTGAAGTCTCTGACGTGTGTTAACACAGCCCTGGCATATAACTACTAATTATATGAGATAATGTTTCACATACAAAGGTCTCCGGTAGAATATACTAATCCCCAGGTCAATTACTGTATCATTTTATCTCTGTTACGCACAGATCATTACGCTAGCATTCGTACTGGTAAGTTACTCCATTGTGATTGGTCAGTTTTTAACCAATCAAGTGAATAAAGATAACTGAAATGCTGTGTTGCTGTTATGTTAATATTGTTTGTGAGTGGATGTGTACCTTTATCTTTTTTGAAAAATGGATTTTTAAGTATTTTTTAAGAGCGATGATAAGATGTGGTATTAAATAACCTGTCCAAAATGTATGTTATTAACAGATCCGTACCAAGGTAAAACGGTAAAAGTCCCAGTGTTGGAACCTTACGATCCCTACAATGGTGCGTAAGACCAAAGGCAGAATGTTTCATTATATTTTGTTTAGTTTTTGTATATCCTTTACTTGCCTTGCCTTAGTTACCAATTATATCCTGTAATATTTTTTATCATTTAATGCTGAAGGTGTCATGTCGCTTAACAATGAAACAGATTTACACTATATATACCTACTTTTAATATCTACCATTTAAAAAAGAAAAGTAAGATCCCATGTTTGTTGTTATTAGCACCCATCCTCTTTTTCAGCACTTACTGAATGGTATAATTACCCCCTTTCCCAAACAACATCCATTCTTGCCCTCTATGGTAAAAAATATATTATGTGTACTATATAATACACTTTATATCAGACACTGTATAAGTCTCGCAATATGTCAAAACTGTTTTACAGTGTTTTATTTAAAAAAAAAAAAAAAAATAGTTTGGAATTCTCACTTGGAGTGACTGTCTGACAGTTAGGTTAATTGTCTTTACAGCATCTACCATGACTCATATTTTGTTATCTTATATTAGTAAGTGGCTCCTTTAGCCAGTTTTTCATGCTTGCTGGGTGCTAATTATGTTAAACATGTCATTATGGTAACATGTTTAAACCTGTTTCATTGTTTTTCGAAATGATTTATTGGATCCACAGATTTAATTTTTCCAAGTTTCCGACTTCTCATTAATATAAGAAATGTTTCCTGTGTTTTCCCCAAAACAACTGATTACTTATTTGATTTACAATTTTCAACATGAAAAAGTTGATGCGTCTTTTTCATATCTAAATAAATTATGGTTTCGTTTTACAAGATATTGAATAACAGCCCCTACCCCGATTCTCCATCCTTTAAAACACATTGATCTACAAGTTCGTTTTATATCTACTGTACGTTTCGCTAGATATGCACAAAGTTAAAACAATATGGATTTTAATAAGATAATACTGACAATTGAAAGTTTGCCAATATTTCTGTATGTGCATGCATACATAGACAAATGTACTGCCCTTTTGCTCAACTCTTCTTTGTATTCCTGTAATGCATGTGGTAGGCTCTGATCTGTTATAAAGTTTACTGCATTGATTTAGCAAACTTGACGAAGAGGACTGATTACATGGACTGCCTTACATAGTTAGTGAATGCATGAAGAAACTATATAAACAAATGAATTCCTAACCTGCCTCTGGTTTGTTCTCAAATCTGCTGGTAAAATGCATGAAAGTTCAGATAAACTGGAATATTAGAAAAGGATGCATGCAAATATACCGCGGGATATTTATTAATCAGCCTTTAAGCTTACAAGAAACTTTGTTCCAAGTTAGCCTGATATTTACATATCTAGTTTAAACTATGAACTAAGGGCGTATCCTATATTATTATCACCATTTAAAGTTGATATATATATGTATCCTCACAATTAATTCCCACATGTCCCATAAAATTACGCCACATTCATGTAACCCTGAACATTATTACAGCGGTCTGAACTGTATCTTCTGCCTCACTGGTGAAAGTTATATAACCACTTAAGGTTCAGGTTTATGTATACCTACAAACTAAATACAATTTCAGAATAGTATTATTAATATATGTTAACATCTAATGCCCTAATATTACGTACTACCCCTGCGAGAGGGTATTCATGAAATCATGAATGGTCATGAACAATTCATGAACATTCATGAATACAGACAGTTTGAAATTCATGAATACTTATTCATGAATATTCATCAACCTGCTTTCATGCATTCTTCATGAACTTTTATGAATAATTAATAAATTCATAAAAATGCATGAATCTGCATGAAGTTTGTGATTATGAATTATTCATGGACTTTTATGCACAGCAAAAATTCATTAAAATTCATCAGAATTCATGAAAGGCATATCCTTGAGAAATCATGAACTTTGATGAATTTAAATGAATAATGCAAATTCATTAAAATTCATCAAAATTTCTTAAAGATTGACTGAGCAGAAATCATGAACTTTGATGAATATTTCAAATACACAAAATTCACTATTATTCATGAAATTATGAATGATGAGAAAACTCAGTATCCTCAGAAACCATTTTTTTTCTTGTGGTTATTTCAACTCCATGTCCATTTTGCATGAATGTATATAATAATGTAAATATATATAATATATAAATATAATTGCCAATTTTGCAGGAAGTATACATAAATTATATTATGGAGTTCCATCTGTATTGATTTTATTGACTTTGGGAAGCACTGTAATTACTGGGAGCAGCGGTGGCTCAGTCAGTTGTTAAGGTCACAGACTACAAATCACATGCTTCTCACCTCCTTATGTATATATATATATATATACATATTGAAAATAACACTGGAATTTCAGTGAGATTCCACTGGAATGAAATATTTCAGTGAAATACCACTGGAATTCCAGAGAAGAAAACAAAAATCCTGTGGAATTCCAGTGAAGCAAAAAAATACAAGTAGAATTCCACTGGAAAAAAATCACTGGAATTATATTTCTACTGGAATATTAATTCCAATGGAACTATAACTCCTCTGACAATCCATGCAGAGGTGATGAGATCTGAAATACATTTTGCATGAAGTGGTATTAACTAGAAAAAATGGAACAATACATCAGTTTAACAATTTTTTAATAGATATATTACCCTTTACAAAGACAATTGTAGGCTAGCTATTAACGTACATGAGTTTATACAAAATATGACTATGTTAAGTCAGTTATGTTCAAGTGTTTAACACTTATGAATGTGAGATTTGGTGTTATTTGGACTAAGATGAACTTCTTTCCTAGTCTACTGCAATGAACTAATACAGTGTCTCCAGTCAACTAGTTCAAAAACATGAATGCAGAGTGATTTTTCAGCATGCTCCTTTAACACGGGCATGGTAATGGCATTTTTCAAATTCTGACTCAATATGTCCCAGACTTGCAAGGACATTCAGAGATATTGGCACAGCTGGTAAAAAGTCATCCTGGCAGTTCATTATTTTCATTATTGTTTTGTATATTGTCTTTGTCATTGTGTATTATTTTCTGCACCTGAAGATTTTGTGTAAACGCTGCTTTGCTCATTGATGGATGGGACACAAACCTATGAAACTGATAGCACAGCCATTCAAGTTTAGTCATAGTATCAGAATTAGGAATTTTGTTGACTGCTAATTCTGAGTTGAATACAGTGAAGTCATAAGAACTACACCAGTCACAATTCATTTCCTTTTGGTTCTCATCTTCGGAATCACTGTTGGCCTCTGAATCATCCTGTTCAGGATCTGTCATCTCCTGATCAGATTCTGAGTATATTGAACCCTGGTCTTCATGCCAATTGGCCATATCCTCTAGATCTTGGTTTAATTTATCATCAGAGCTTGTCTCTGAATCTGATCTGAAATATATAATTTGTATGATATACTGAACACGCCAATTACCAATTAATTATCATCTACCATATTTATCCTTCAATAAGCCCAGGGAGCAAGTGTAAAATATTGGGTGGTCTAATTGCAGACATATATATATTACACGCTACATGTATATATAGGGAAATGAATTAAAAAATAATGAAATTCATAATGATATTGGGGGGAGGGTGTTATTACCTGCAGGCATGGGCTTATTGCGGATGGAACTATTGTTTATTGAAGACCAAATTCAGAATTGTTTCCAGCTTGGTTTACAATGTTTAACATCCTTAGTAAATAGTCGGGTAGTTCAAGGATGTCAAGCCATTTCTAAATTTGAGACTAGTGTATTTTGAAGTTTGTTTAATGACATCAGTTAGTCACCGACAAAGCGGGACACCTGAACAGGAAAGATCATGAACCTTCACACTTTTATAAACTGAAAGCGAGATGAGATCTTTGAGATCAGGGAGTTCTATATGAGGTAATTGACAAGATAGCTAATTATCTCAGGGCCGCAATTAATATTTACTAAAGAAATTGTTGTCCAATGTTTACCAGTAAATACTGGCATGGCTGGTAAGTTGACAGTATATTTACTGGTAATTAACATTGGACATAAACATTTTCAGTCAACATTGCTCAGAATAATTCCAACTGCCAGTTGCAGTAAAAATAATAATCTAAACATTTTATTTAGATCATAGATCATGAACAGGATTTTTTTTTTATTTTTTCGTTATGTAAAGTACAAGTATTAGTTCACAATTGGTACAATATTATACAACATAATCCTCAAAAACGAAGAGATACTTGACTTCGATTATACCCAGGATTTTACCGTCGCCATGCGGTGAAAATAATCACAAGCATTTAAAATTCTGACAGTAAATTGAGATATTTATCATTTCAAGATAACAGTATTACTATCGATAGTAATTGACTTAATCGTCCATATTCCTTTATAAGATTTAACGTTAGGTCTGTCAATTTACTGTCAGAATTTCGAACGCCTGTGAAATATTCGGTGACTTAGTGGCACAAAACAGCGACACGCCTACACCTCTGGACTTTTTACAAAAACTTTTAATTGAAATAACTACGGAAACAACATGGCATTGCTCCTTAAGTTAATTTAATCAACGTATGATGGCCTTAGTCTTACCTAGTGTGCGAAAATCCAGGGGAAACTGGAGTTGTTGACATGCTGTCGGGCGAATGTTCAAACTCCAATTCCTATCCATTGTTTGCATCGCCGTCATTGAGATGAAGCCCGTATCTTTTTATATGTGTTTTAATCTTCCTTTCATCGATTGGTGTGCCTGTTTATCGACAGACAAAGTTACATGGTCTTTTTTCGCACCGAAGTCATTCCATGCCATATTTTTATAAATTGACTTCCGGTAGGATCGGAGCGAATAGAGGAATTATTCTGATTGGACGAAATTAATCCCGCGCCAAATACGCTTCAGAAGAAAGTGGAGATGGAGAAATTTTCGAAAGACGGCAGGAAGGTTATCGAAGCCGAAGGTAAGAATCTGATTGGGATTTTATGAAATACTTGTATGAAATGTTAAAACTATGTGTAATTATGTGAAACCAGTCTGTGATCATGATGTTACAACGGTTTACATTGGCAACAACTCATCTGATTCGTCATATTACGGACTTATATAATCTAATCTAATTCCGTGGTCATATTTACCGTGCGGGTTTAGCAATGATATCGATACTGAAAATTATACGTTAGAAAACAGAATTGAATATATTACTGAGTGCTAATGGTTACTGCGTCCAAATTACCAAACGTGTGTGCGTGTGCACCCAATCCCACCCTGCCGAATTTGAAGTTTACAGTATGAATGCACCTCTTGAGATAGTTCTTAACTTGTATGAAATTTGCAGATAGATAATATATAATTTCAATAAAAATTACTGTCCCACTTGTGTGATATCAAAGCCCCCCCCCCCCCCAAAAAATAAGGTTGATGTACAGGGGCTTTGAAAATACAGGTAGGCCTATATACTAATTTCTACAGTATTTTATAAGATAAATGAAAAATTATTAACTTTTTTCTTATTCAGAAAATGGGATTACTCCTAAAATTTACTGACGCGGACATCAGAGATGCATTCGATTGCTTGATGGATCGTTTTGAAGTGTGCCAGATACAGAGTCGTCATGCTTTGCTGACATCGACACAAACAGGCAGTATTATTAGCAGCCAGAACCTGAAGATGTAAGCTTTAGTGCAAGATCTTCAAATGATAATTAAAGCATATGTGTACAAGCTCAGAAGATAACACCAGCCTGCAGGATGACAGTGATGTGTAAAATGTCCCAAGATATACAGCGAAAGATTTGCTATTGAAAAAGGATAAAAGAGGAATACCTAAAGCACCACAACAGTTTTTCAGCAATCTCATGCAAGATGCGGCAGACACGTACTGGCAATATTTAAAAAAAAGATCTCCCCTTGCACCAAATATTCTTGGAAAATAACAACGGTTTTTTAAAAATGTATTATCAGTGACACCTCAATTAAGCAGACATACAAAGAGGTATGGCAAATACTAGGAATAATTTTGCAAAACAAAAGAGAATATCTTTTAGATAAAAGTTTAGGCAAAAGAAGTTCTACCAAGAAAAATGACAACAGTAATAATTGGAACGTACAGTGTGGAGCTTGCAATTGGAAATAAAGTGTTTGTTACTGACAAAACAAAAACTTAATGGTGAAGGAATTATTATTTCCGATCCTAATTCCAAATTTGTTTAAAAAGCTTTGAACAAACTCAGTGATTTAGACGAAATAGAAGACGAACATTTCGAACTTCAAACACCATCAATTGTTACATGGAGAATGGATAGACTCGCAATAAGTAGACCGGGTAAAAAGTGTGCAAGTTCTACAACGAGGAAACCAGCATGTATTTGCATATACAATACAGATAAATTTCAAGAGTTTTGGGAAACCTGTATTCTACAACTCTAACCTAATAATGTCAGCTGTATCATATTCTTGAAACCACACAGACCATATGTGAACCATGCATCCATATTTCATATTTAACAATGCTAAATATGTAGCAGTAAAAACTTTTGCAAATATATATGTTATTCAACTGTCATTTTTTCATGTTTAAAAGATATTTGTGACGTTACTTGCATTATTTCTAACTTTAAACACAGCATGAATGATTATATATACCGTCATAACTGTAAATTCAGAATCTATTGAATGTCCATTATTATTGTTATCTTCATATAAGTGATTCCAATTTGAATTTCAGTGACCACTGGCTAGGTATTTCAGTGGAAATACCACTGGAATCCACTGGGCAATTTGGCCACAAATTCCAGGTCAAATTGCTGGTGGAATCCAGTGGTATTTCCTCTGGTATCCAAGTGGAATTCCATTGTTTATTTTCATATGGTATTAGACTTTCATGAACTTTCATGAAAGTTCATGAAATGTGGTAATTTGTACATGTTCATGAATGTTCATGAATATTTCAAGCATTTTCAATTCATGAACTTAAAATGGGACGTTTTCTTCATGAACATTCATGAACATTCATGAATTGTTGCCATTTTTCATGAATGTTCATGAATTCATATATTCATGAATATTCATGATTTTATATTCATGAAAGTTCATGATTTTACATTCATGAATATTCATGAATATTCATGAATTTATATTCATGAATTTTCATGAAATATTTTGCTCAAGATTATTCATGAAGTTTTAAGTTCATGAATTTCATGAAAATATTCATGAACAAATCAAGAACATTCATGAATATTATTCATGAATATTTCATGAACTGTTCATGAAGTTTCATGAATTATTCATAATCATTTCGCAGGGGATTCACATGGTATTTGGTGTTTTAAAATTGGATGATAACGATATTTTTAGGCTGTGAAATACTAACCCCTAACGCTACTGTAGATTTCTCATGTTTTGCACAAAAAATATTTTGCAAATTGGTGTATCTGTACCTTTTCATGAGGCCATCAATTCACAATTCACTCAGCACGTAAATCCATCATTTTGTTTGTGTGAAACTGCAATTCGCGATTGAGCTAAACTTGAATTAACAAATAATAAACATCAAGCAAAGTATAAGAAATAAACAGTAAAAGTTATGGATGGGTGCTGTTCATTACTCCCTTTTCTATTGATTTTAAGACACTTGGATTACAAACAGTGTCTGTTGAGTCTGTTTATCTTGTACATGTTTTTTCAGTACATAAGAACATTGTATTGTGTGCCATGCTGATGTCTACAGAACCTGAAACAGATCCAATAGGAGTTAGGTTAAACTTGTTAGCCAGTGTCTATGTGTATGAAGATATTAAATTGTATTCATTTTGCAGGAAACATGCAGCATATACAGCTCATTGTGTGATATTACTGTGTCGTGTCAGACAGCTGGTAACATGCTGAAGGGCAGCTAAAGAGAGAATAATACATGCCTTTTTCCATATCACACCCAGTATCAACCCGAGACTGCAATATCAGCCCAAGGGCCGAAGGCTGATATCGGTCAAGGGTTGATATTTGGTGTGATATGGAAAAAGGTGTGTTTTATTCTGTTTATTACATATTTTTTAATAAAAACTACTATCTTATGATTAAATTTTCTTTTTGAAATATTGAAAAACGAAAAAAATCCAAAAGGGATGTGATATGGGTTTTGCGGGCTGATACAGGTTTTGGGGTGTGATACGGCGGGGGCTGATATGGGTTTTGGGGTGATGTAGGTTAGGGCAATTGTGTCGTATCGCATATACAAAAAACCTGTATTTATCAGTAAGTATGTAATAAAATGAAATAATTGATATAGCTAAAAAGAAAATACCCTGAACAATTCATTTTCTTCACCTGTTTTCATTAATTTGATGTGAAATATTTAAGCAAGTCTATTAGATAAATTTTGTTAATTTGAAAATTTATGTTTTTAGTCTTCTGGTCTATGCACAAGTATTATGAAAGTTTATATATTATCTGAAGTATCACCTTTAATTAAAGTGTATTCATATCTAAACCAATTTTACAGGTTTTTCTACATTTCCATTTTAGAGTATTTTTATCTCGACAGATTATTGAAGTTTTAGAACATTGTATATATGACTTAAATCCTCATACATGTGTCGTTTAATAAATTAACATTATTAAAAATGGTTTTTTCACAGACTCTCCAAACAGAAAAGGTACAAATCGTCACAGGAGTCCTACAAGAGGGTGAGTTACTGTTGTACTTAATCGTAAGATTTATACCTGGTACTGTTTCAATGTATTATGATCAGTTCCTTATGACATTTTTATAAGTAGGTTGTTCTTGGTTCATTGTTGTGCATGTTAAAGTTTGATACTTATTAATCAGAAGAATCAGGTTGCTATAAGACAGCAATCTTTAATTTTGACAGTAAACTCATTCATCCCTGAAGACACATTTGAACTTCTTCAATTCAAAGGTTGGAATAGTTTAATATGAAATTTCAGGGGTGAAAGAGTTAAGGTTGTCATTTCTATTTCTCATTAAAGCACCATTTTTTTTTTACTTCAATTTCCTATTCTGACTCCAGAAATATTTGTTTTAAGTTGTGCATGTTTCCTCGACTTAACAAGCACAGCCTAGGCTCAGTAGAGTTAAACGAAGCGATGTGAAGATATAATTTTAATTAGATTGGACAATTCCTCACCTCGCAATACGTCATAGCCTACATCCCTTAGGACAATTCCTCACCACTACAGGCAGAGCCTTGTGCCAATTTACGTCATAGCCTACATCCCTTAGGACAATTCCTCACCACTACAAGCAGAGCCTTGTAGTGCCATATGTCATAGCCTACATCCCATAGGACAATTCCTCGCCATTACAAGCAAAGCCTTGTAGTGCCATACGTCATAGCCTACATCCCTTAGGACAATTCCTCACCACTACAAGCAGAGCCTTGTCGTGCCGTACGTCATAGCCTACTTTCCTTAGAACAATTCCTCACCATTACAAGCAGAGCCTTGTAGTGCCATACGTCATAACCTACATCCCTTAGGACAATTCCTCACTACTACAAGCAGAGCCTTGTAGTGCCATACGTCATAGCCTACATCTCTTAGGACAATTCCTCACCATTACAAGCAGAGTCTTGTAGTGCCATACGTCATAGCCTACATCCCTTAGGACAATTCCTCACCAATACAAGCAGAGCCTTGTAGTGCCATACCTCATAGCCTACATCCCTTAGGACACTTCCTCACCAATACAAGCAGAGCCTTGTAGTGCCATACATCATAGCCTACATCCCTTATGACAATTCCTCACCATTACAAGCAGAGCCTTGTAGTGCCATACCTCATAGCCTACATCCCTTAGGACAATTCCTCACCATTACAAGCAGAGCCTTGTAGTGCCATACATCATAGCCTACATCCCTTAGGACAATTCCTCACCATTACAAGCAGAGCCTTGTAGTGCCATACGTCATAGTCTACATCCCTTAGAACAATTCCTCACCATTACAAGCAGAGCCTAAGGCTCTGTGGTATCATATCAAATAAATTTGATTCAGGTACAATTTGAATGCCAAAATTTTCATTGACTTTGAATATGCATGGTATGGTGAATTTCCCTTTTTTGTGGTCATACTTCTAAAATTGATCATTTTGTTTAAAATTGGTTGCAGTTTATATGATTGTTTGACAACTTTCAGTTTACTTTGCCGTTGTGAATGCTCGTGTTTAAAACCCACATATTTGAGCCACTCCAATGGGTAAAACATTTTTTGGGTAACTTTAAACCTCATTTTTTAATTTTACTTTTATATAAATTATCACTTGTATTCAACATTACATTCAATTTTCTTTCAACTTGAAACAATTAATCTCCGGTTCATCATAGATTTTGATAGAACAACATTAATATGCTGAATACTATTGGTTATTTCAAAGCACCATATATATTTAATCATGTGTCTTCTTTTTCTCTTTTATTTCATTTTGGTAAAGTAGACAATTTCTAACATTGGTGTTCATTGTATAAAATCAATTTCTTTTCAATCAGAATTTTTAAAAATAAGTTTGAGTCAGCAGTTTTTCATATTTTCAGATGGTTAAGGCCTAATACTCAATAAAATTACAATATTGGTATCCCACCCCCTCCCACAAATACACAAAAACACACACACACACACACATTTAAAAACTCTGTTACCGGTTAACGTTCACCGAGTTGAGGCTGGGGCATGTGACCCAGTACCCTTTGTACAACCAGCACTCTCTGGTTCTGATGTTGCTGGCTCGTTTGCAAGGTTACCGACCTCTTTTCAATGTAACATGCCTGTTTTCAGTAACAACATAGATGTGATCAACAGTCAGAACCTTGGAAGGTAATTAATGTGATGTTGCTGTGTTTCTAGGTGCATCTGTGTCATGTATTGGTGTCAGCCTTTTGTTGACCAATCATAACTCTCAATAGATGTCAACCTTTCAAAGATCAATTATAACTCTTAATGGATGTCTGCCCTCCATCAATTGCAAGCAATCAAACTTACGTCAGCTTATCATTGATGTACCAAATGCTAACCTTTAGCTTAGTAAAAGTTTGAAATCTTTATCGAAACAATTTTTTACAATTATTTTTGGAGTTTAATTTCTGTATTTTCTAGTGGAAAATAATTACAGTATGTACACATAAAATGTTAAGATTTGATAATTTTTCAGGATTCTGTGTATTGCATTATTTAAATTCCCATTTATCCAATAAGTAAAATTAAATTTCACCAGTTTAACTAATAAAAAGTATAAGGGAAGGATATACTGATATCTTGTCAGGTGGACGACAGTAGTGAGTGTTTATGGTAGTCCTGTGTTTTTGTTCCCCGTTGTTTGTTGTTTGTCACTGTTGTTTGTTGTTTGTCACTGTTCTTTGTTGTTTGTCGCTGTTGTTTGTTGTTTGTTGCTGTTCTTTGTTGTTTGTCGCTGTTTACGTGTGAGGAAAAAATAATTAATCTTGACGTATCTTTACTTCACTGCCTAACAAAGCCTCATTTGGCCACACATTTCTGACAGCACCTTCAATCTGCCAGACTCCCAGCGTCTGTGTCCTATTGATTGTTTTGAAAAACAATAATAATGAGCGTAAACCTTGTTTATTTCAAAAAGGTTTATTATTGATTCATAATGTGAACATCAGATTAATACCAACTGGTAAAGGTAAGGTTTTCTCAGGTTCACCATATTAGTCATGAAAAACACAACTATTCAATACACATCTCTTATTATGATCATTTCATTGAAACGAAGCAAATGCTTTTGAGCAATATGTCAAACTCATGTTCCTCATCAACATTGATGTCCCAATGAGCCTGCACGCTGTATCCTCCGAACACTACTGTTATTAAACTAGGCAACATTTTCAAGGTAAACACTTGGACTCATACATATAGGATTTTTTGTAAACCTGGATTTTTTCACTGATCTTAATTTACAGATTTCACTGTATATTGGTATAATTTTCATCATTAAAATTGACACTTTTTCCACAGTTACATATAAAGTGGAATTTTTACCTTTTAGTTTGCTTTCCTTTTCTCTATTTCTTACAGCTCATTTTATTGCAAGATATATACATGTATATCACTTGAAAGGTTTACTCACAGAGGCTGTAATACATAACACAGACAATAGTATAGACAGCTGTTGGTGGGTAGAGTTGAGTGATCAAGGGCAAAGTGTCTCAAAAAATACCCCAGGACACCGCTGGTTACGACAGGATTTTAACCTACAACTTGTTAGTCTGTTGGGTGGATTCATTTCTACATTTATTATTTGTTATTGAAATTCTGTTCAGAATTAAAGGACTTTCACACAGAACAGAAAACAGGTTGATTAATTTTTCATTTATTTTGAAAATCCTTCCACACATAATTGAGGTTGAATTCAATAAATTAAGCAAGCATCCATGATTGGTTTTATGTTTGTGACATTGCAGTTGTTATGTTGTCACAATCTCCACAGAAAACGGCCAGACCTCATGGACATGAATTAACCCTTTCACCACTGTGGACCACAATGGATTCATCCAGATAAAGCTATAGTAGAGTCTACTTAAGTTACCTAGGGGTGAAAGGGTTAATGTAAATCCATTAGCATGATAATTTATTTTAAATTTCACATTATTTCCATGTTTAATAATGTTGAAATTTCTTTTTGTTTAGTTTGAACTTGATTCAGTTTGTTAATACAGGGCGAGAGAAATGCAATTATAAAGAGGTTTAGATATTAAAACCTATATGATTGCTTTGTTGCCAGTTGTCCATCATCTTCGGATGAAACTCACTCTGATGATGGTACACTATCTTTGTCCCAGTGGTAAACATTTCAGATTTTCTCTAATTAAAATTAATCTATTTAGCTAATTAGAACAATGAAATCGCATGAAGTCACAATGGTTTACACAAAGTCTTAATAAATATATGCCCTCTGTTTTAGAAAAAAAATGCATGAACCAAGATACTATTGTTTACTGTAATGCATGCTACAGAACATGTTTACACTTCTAATCTTTCACAGTGCAAAACATTGGTATAAAAAACCCACTGCTGATAACACTGGCTAATTAATGTATCATAAACAATGATTAAAAGAACAAGTACTAGAAATATCAATTATCCACTACTGATTTCATAACACTAATTAATGTATCATAAATATTTTGTAAATGAAAAAGATAACTCTTTTCATCACTACAAGAAATTAAAAAAACTCCATATTGCATGTCAGTGACATCTTTGCAAATCATGTAGTAAATCAGCCCATCATTCACCATTAAACTATATCAGCTAAATACATATCTTGTATTGATCTCTTACTTTTAATTAATCTTTCAATTGTTTTTACAATTATTTTTACAACTCTTGGTAACCTTTTAAACATATATCTAAAAGCATATACCTAAACTAAACATATGAAAGACTTTTGTTTTTCATGACATGAAACATTAAGTGAGTATTAAAATGTCCTGCAAGAACAAGATTGTATACAACGAATTAAAATCAACATATTAGCCTTTTGGTTATTTTGCTTTAGACATCACAGAGAGAATGTTGGCAGCATGGCATTACCACTAGTCTATAAGACAAGCTTCCTAATGATCAAATCTTCTAATACATTTAGGGATCCTTCCTTACTTCTTTGAAACTGGTACTGAGATTATCATATGTGTAAAGAGAACATGAGCCTATTGGGATTATCAATACAAAAATCACTTACATTAATTAATGCTTTGTTTTATTGATGCTAATAAATCTTGAAACTGTTTTGAACCCTTAAGTTGGACACTCTTTACATTCTTTCAATTAAGCTGTAAACATATGTATTTTATTACAATGATAGACAACATAACTTTTATCAGTGCCATTAACAGTAAAATGTTGCACATATTTCTATAAGGCATTAGCTGTGCAAAACCTAGAATAAACACTTGCTGCCATTTCTGTTTACAGTAAAACATGATGCTTTTGTGTATTATTGGAAAGCTAGGTTGTAAGTTAATAAAAACCTTTGCTTTATTGAATTATATTGATTATATTATTATTTTGAAATACAGGGGTGTACTATTTAATTGCAAATTGATATAAATAAAAGTAGTTATTGACTTATATACTGTTTTCACATGTCCAGGTCTGAGCCAATTGTGCCTTATCATATGACGACTGCGGGCCCTCCACGCCCCACTGTGCCTTACTACAGCGGCCCAGACAGTGAGGCTGTGTCCTCACTCATGTTCGAGGAGAAGGTCCAGGAAAGCATGTCAAAGGATGAAACCATACAGGTATAAAAAAAGTTCTTTATTACACACATGACACTCATCAAAAAGTTTACAGCTAGGGACAAATGTACTCTTAATCAAATCACTTCAAGATCCTCCTCTCTATTTAAAGATGGTTAAATTCCCCCAGTTTTTTTGTACTTTGAAGTGTTACTAAACCAATTAAGACGGCAAAAGGATGTTGAAATTTCTTACGCTTATTATGACTCAAAGTTTTCGAATCCCAATAGCTTTAAAATTAGTATTTGTTAAAAAAAACCTGGCAAGATAGTGCCTTTGTATGGCTTTGTTGTATATTTTAATTTTCCAATTTCTCCAGGTCTACCTCAGGTACCACAGTCATGTATTGCTCTGCTATTTACTACCAGTAAATAGGTACTCAGAAAAGCACCTGCCTGTCAGATTCTAGTTAACATGGATTGATCTTAGTGTTTTCCAAACCTATGGTCAGGTTTATTTCATAAAGAGTAATGAACCTATTTACACATATTAGTTAGATTTAGTGTCACTTACATTTCCCTCTTTTTGTTTGATAAAGATTCTCCAAGCCAAAATCCAGAGACTGGAACATCTTCTGCATCTGAAAGACCTCAAAATCAACACCCTTCAGGATCACCTTGATGAACTCCGACCAACTGTGCAGACGAAGAAACGGTCACAAAACTTTCGCTAAAGCTTGAATTATTAAAATTTTACCATATAATCACATCATCAGAATATTTCACTCAGTATTGGACTTGATATAAGTAGACAGTAGTTCATGTGTGGAAAAAATTATAGTCGGAGAACCTACTTGGAAATTCTGTCCTTAAATTACTGGTGACACCATCCTTATTGTGAAAATGATCTTTTGTACATGGAAATATCTTATAACAGAGCACTGAAAGACGATTTTGCTTGTAAGACATTTTTTTGCTATATGCTGGGAGCTAAATAGAACATGTTGGACACATGTTGGAGAAAGTGTTTTTGACTGTACGAAATCCAACATCTGCAACTTAGATCATCAGTAAGAGGGGGGAAATTCAGAACTTCATTCACAAGTTAAAAGATACTTTCCATGTTCTGGGAGAGAGAAAAGTTGATTATAATTTAAAAGAAAATAAATTTTTGACCAAAAATATAGCTCTGATACATGTATAGGCAGCATTTAAATAAACACATAGTGAAGTCTTTGTCATAAATATCTCTATTTTCTATTGCAAGAGAAATTCTACTTCATTCAAAACATTATTGTTAAGCATAAAACAGGCATTTTATTTCTATCGATCAAAGTGATCTCTGTATACCATTCAATACACTCTCTCCCTAAGGATTCTCTTAGTACCACTGTATACCATTCAATACACTCTCTCCCTAAGGATTCTCTTAGTACCACTGTATACCATTCAATACACTCTCCCCCTAAGGATTCTCTTAGTACCACTGTATACCATTCAATACACTCTCTCCCTAAGGATTCTCTTAGTACCACTGTATACCATTCAATACACTCTCTCCCTAAGGATTCTCTTAGTACCACTGTATACCATTCAATACACTCTCTCCCTAAGGATTCTCTTAGTACCACTGTATACCATTCAATACACTCTCTCCCTAAGGATTCTCTTAGTACCACTGTATACCATTCAATACACTCTCTCCCTAAGGATTCTCTTAGTACCACTGTATACCATTCAATACACTCTCTCCCTAAGGATTCTCTTAGTACCACTGTATACCATTCAATACACTCTCTCCCTAAGGATTCTCTTAGTACCACTGTATACCATTCAATACACTCTCTCCCTAAGGATTCTCTTACCGGGGTAGTACCACTGCCAAAAATTTCAACTCTGAATTGGAAACTTTTTCTCCAGCACAATCACCGGTATATAAAAAATAATAAAGGTGAAATAAAAACAAATCAATAACAGTGTTCTGAGTTTGAAAATTCAATGGAGCCAGACGAGGATTCGAACCCGAGACCTCCAAGTCATTATAAGCAGTCACTCTAGGCAACAGAATTTTCTAGTGAGTTGTTGGCAATGGGACATGGATCCTTAAATCTCAGTAGATTGATGTTATTTTGACATTTATAACACATTTCTAATAATCTCTTGGTTTCTTTGCCATTTAAATTGTTGATCAAGTTATCTAGTGATAGAACTACCACTGACAACAACACACTGATTGAGTTATCTCCCTTAAAAAAAGGTGAACCACATCTTTTGTATAAAGAGTGTTTTAAGAAGTAGATCTATGATTTTTTTTTTGTGTCTGTTGGACTTCATCATTCAGCCCAAAAATTTGCCACATATTTAGTGTAAAAAGATAGTAATGTTTTAGATAACGATGAATATCAATGTCTAAAGAATTCGTGGTTCCGCTTTGTGTAAGAAATGGTTTCAATAGGATACACATGTGTAAATGAAATATACATGGTTAATATTAGACATATTATGTAACATCTACATGGTTTTAACAAACAAGACACGGAATATAAAATCTGCATAGTTTTGATATTAGTTGTATGAAATCTACATGATTTTAATAGATGAGACACAATATATAAAAACTACGTATAATTTTAACAAATTGTATAAAATCTACCTGGATACATGGTTTTTATATGTAACACTTTGTATAAGCTCTGTTTGATTTCTTAGAGATTTTCATTGGCTGGGGAACATTTCAGTTTTGTATATTGAAGTGTTGTCAACACATAGCTGTGATATTTTCAAACAGTTTGACGAATTGTGTAAATCACTTTATTTTCATGAGTATGTCTTGTGGTAATTTGCAAGGAGACTCGTGTGCATATAATATTCTTTGCAGCAATAATCCCTATCAGTATTGAAAGAACATTCTCTAAATAAAAAAAAACAGGTATTGTTTGTGAAATTAAATACACAAGAAATAAAGTGATTAAAAGTTTGGTATGGGTTAGATAATCAGTGTCTTACAGATATCTATCACTGAACAAAATAAAAGTAAGATATGGGTTAGATAATCAGTGTCTTACAGATGTTTATCACTGAACAGAATAAAAGTTGGGTATGGTTAGATAATCAGTGTCTTACAGATGTTTATCACTGAAGAGAATAAAAGTTTGGTATGGGTTAGATAATCAGTGTTTTACAGATGTTTATCACTGAAGAGAATAAAAGTTTGGTATGGGTTAGATAATCAGTGTCTTACAGATGTTTATCACTGAACAGAATAAAAGTAAGATATGGGTTAGATAATCAGTGTCTTACAGATGTTTATCACTGAACTGAAATCAACTTGTGGTGTTCATGTCACAAATATCAGGTCATCGAAAGTACAGAAACATTCATAAAAAATATACGAAATGTTGAAATCAAAATTAGCCTTATGTGATGTGAAATATTTGGTACTACGTATACAAGGGAAATATTAAGATATATCAACAGTTATGTGTGTGTACCTTAGTATCATTTATGGAAGGTTTCGGTACAAGTATCTAGATGGTTATTGAAGGTTCTGGTTAGTATATATCCTAACAGTTATGGGAGGTTTCGGTGTGTGTACCTTAGTATCATTTATGGAAGGTTTCGGTACAAGTATCTAGATGGTTATTGAAGGTTCTGGTAAGTATATATCCTAACAGTTATGGGAGGTTTTGGTGTGTGTACCTCAGTATCATTTATGGAAGGTTTCCGTACAAGTATCTAAATGGTTATTGGAGGTTCTGGTTAGTATATATCCTAACAGTTATGAGAGATTATAGTAAGAATGTCTGTGGTGTTTTGGTAAACATATCTTGTAAATTAGCATCAATTAACATTGTATAATTTTCCAGAGTGATTTAGCAGTCAGATTTTTTTCTTGTGTAAAAAATTGTCAAATGTTAACTTCTAATTTTTCTGTGATGGTATATCTTTAAATTGTCTACATAACAGAACTGTGTTAATGTACATGTATGATGTAATTTTTTATAACTTTTGATTTTGCCTTTACCTGGAACTAACTTCGTTTTGAATTTTTTGTTTGTTTTTATGTCGGCAGGTTAGAATGAATTTTCCTGTATAAAGCTATTTGTTTTTATGTCGGCAGGTTAGAATGAATTTTCCTGTATAAAGCTATTTGTTTTTATGTTGGCAGGTTAGAATGAATTTTCCTGTATAAAGCTATTTGTTTTTATTCAAAAGCTTGACAAGGAGGACATATATATAAGACTTCTATTGGTTATATGTAAATTTTTATTTTTATTTTACAACAGTTATGAAACAAGTTTTCCGTATTTGTATAAAACACTTGTTGGCCAGGATGGAAGCACACAGAGGCTCGTCTATTGATGTAGTATTATCATTTTGATGCTTTTGAATATTCATGATTCCTTAGTTTATATTTCTGATAATCATTTTCCGTCCAAGCATAATGCTATAATTAAAACAAAATTACAATTAAAACTAGTTTTTCAACTACCGGTATCTATATCGATCAGTCAGAAATATGCTAAAAAAGGTATGTTCTAAGGGCTTATATTATTTCGTTTTTGCACTCCAGCGAGATGTTTCTCAGGTATTTGATATCTACGTTGAACAGTTTCTGTTAGATTGATTTCAATCATAAGATATTTTTGCTTAAATTTGCTAGGTACCAGTATGTTGTAGAAAGAGGGTTCATTTTCCTAAAATACATTTTTAGATATAGATTCAAATTCTTCCGTCCTTAGATAGTAATCAAGACAATGATACTTCCAGTATTTGTTTTAGAATATTTGTCTGGAAAAGATTGTATCTGTTTGTCCGAAATATTTATGTTCATGTACTGGTAAATAAAATACTGCAATGCATAACACTAATGTGTTTACTGTATTATGCTGTCCAAAAAAGGTCCTATACTGACTAGCCATTTAAATATCAATGGAGTCTTCTGATTATTAAAGTCCTGGGGTCATACGGAGGACTGGAAAGACTCTTCAGGTTCAACAACTGGGACCTGGGAATCAAAGGTGTTGATGCTCCATTACTCCTCTACTTGTGGTTACCTCCCTTTGATGGAGCTCTACTAGAATACCTTAATTGGTATCCACCTTGTATTCCCGGTACATCGACCGATCACTACTTACAGGACGTTGGATCACCTTGCCCGTTATCTGTAGATTGTTTCAGGTGACAGGGGTTATTGACAGGAAGCTGTTCTGGAACACATTAAGTTTACGACGAATCTATCCTAGATTGTCACTTCTTAGTTCTTGACTCTGCCTCTCTGATGCAATGGTGGAGCTGTATATATATAAACAAACTTGATCTTGAGTTGTCCAGCAACAGAAGATCCTGTCACATGTGGTCTAGCCTGACTGTGACATTACCAGGTTCTCTAAAGGCATATAACTGCAAAGATGGTATATCATCATCCCAGGCCTTTTGATTATTCACAAGAAGTCATTTAAAGGTTTTCAAAACATCTGACCCTATAGTTTTGTCAATGTCATATAATTTTAATTCGACAGACTTGATGGCCCTTTATCCAAGCATTAAACTAACGACCAAATATCACCCAAGGCCTTTTTAGGTTACCTGACCATAGGTCATGGTAACCTATTGTGATAGCCTTTTGTCCGTCGTCGTGCGTCAATCAATAAGATCCCGGACGAGTTCGAAAATGGGAATTATTCGACAGTAACTTACAGAGTTATTGCCCTTTGTAATAATATTATTATTGGACCTTGTGAACACAATAACTTGAGTAAATGATAACCGAGTTTGATGAAACTTTGTATGCAGCCATATGTCAATAAGATCTCGGACGAGTTCGGAAATGGGAATTATTGGACAGTAACTTACAGAGTTATTGCCCTTTGTAATAATATTATTATTGGACCTTGTGAACACGAGAACTTGTGTCATATTAACCGAGTTTGATGAAACTTTGTATGCAGCCATATATCAATAAGATCCCGGACTCTAAATGGGAATTATTGGACAGTAACTTACAGAGTTAGTGCCCTTTGTAATAATATTATTATTGGACCTTGAAAACATGATAACTTAAGTAATTATCAACCAAGTTTGATGAAACTTTGTATGCGGCCTTATATCAATAAGATCTCGGATGAGTTCGAAACTGGGAATTAACAGTAAGTTACAGAGTTATTGCCCTTTGTAATAATATTATTATTTGACCTTGTAAACAAGATAACTTGAATAAATGTTGATGGAGTTCAATGAAACTTTGTCTGGTAATTATTTGACGGTAACCTGCAAAGTTATTGCCCTTTGTCATTATATTATTATTTGTCCCTGTGATGTTGATTGATATTACACAAGAATAGATGTAAATTCATGTGGTACACGGGTTTTTTCATTCATGACGCATTTTTGCTACTAACAAGGTGCTATTAAAATTTTGTGCCTTATTTAAAGGGGCTGGTCGGGGAAAACATTACAAAATAAATGGGTCTAAATGTGTTCTCTGGCCTTCCAAAAGTTATACCACGGCAATATGATGGTCGAGTTCTACTTGCAATGTCCAGTTTTGACCACTGAAATCTTGGGGAAGCCGCGCGTAAATTTAGCGCAGATCTATTTATATATGTCACATGGTTGTTTCAAAGGGAGGCAGTGAAGTTACAACAATAGCACGCGGTCTATCAGCCATGTCGGACTCAACTAGCGGACAAGACAGCAATACTATACGTAAATAATTGTTTTCAAAGGTCATGTATGATGCAAGTTTAGTATTCCTACCCATATGTTGTTGTTACATATAACGGTATTGATACCTCGTACCTGTCAAGTTTTTTGCATGCATCTTTTTCTTTCGCCACGATGTTTACATTTGGCCTTGTTGATGACGCGCATGCGGTAAAATTACATCACTGGTCTGGGTCAATTGAGAGTTTTAGACTGTCAGGTGACGATTCAGGATTTCTTTAATATAATTATAATTTTTACTCTTAGGGAGTAAATTTCAGCAAAATTTGAATTGGTATATTTCATAAGAAGGTATTTTAAACATGTGTATGCCATTTTAGCAAATATTACAATTTTTCCCCGACCAGCCGACCAGCCCCTTTAATAAATCATTGATTTACGCTTTTACTTGTTTCTTTTAACATGTGTGTATGTGATGTCCTCCTGCAATATTGCTTTGTTAACGTTTTACTAATTAACATACATTGTCCAGTAATGTTATAAAATAAAAACAACAACAACTGAAATAAACTACTTGATAAATTGAAGGTTTTAATGAACAGCAAATTTGAAAATATATATTAAGGCACAAAGAAAGTCATGAATAAACCCGGGTGCACCGAGGTCCGGTACACATCACTCACACACGTGTCTACGAGACACAAACAGCTAGTAATCGTGTGCAACAATCCCTACACAGGTAAATGCCCCTGTCATCATGGTAGCGACATTAACTGCGCTAGATGAGTTACGATAACTTTCGAACAGTGTATGGTTTTTATACGCCCGTCGAAGACGGGGATGTATTATGTTATCACATGAGCGGGCGGGCGGGCGGGC